ACACTTCAAAAGAGGCAATGCATATATTAAAAACAGAAACAGTCAGGGATAACACAAAGTCTAAATAATTATTTACATTGTGGTTCCTGACCTAAACAAATCCAATATTAGGCAGCAGATAAGACATAGCAGGCATGGCACCATAATATAGAATCACTGTATATGTCAATACAATCATTTAAAATTAATAATAATTGTACTCAAAGTCTTTAAACATTTAAAACTATTAAATACACATTTTCTTCCTTCACTTAACCACTTCTTAATGGCATGTCTTTACACTTACAAGCTGTCAACCATTTTAAGACTTCCTTGCAACCAGTTGAACAAAATTGCTGCTACTTTTAAAACAAGGAGAAACCAAATTTGTACAAATCTGGTACAATAACTGAACATCTTTCACCTGAGTAAAAACTAATTTAGGTATGTACACAGAAGAAACCTAGAAACAGCAGTTTGTTTCCTTCCCTGGAAATGTATTATGTTGCACTGTAGTAAAGAGAGAATGGATAGAAGAAGCTAAATATTCATTGTCATAATAGAAGAGGACACCTTCTATTTAGTTTTGATCCATTTTGGAGTATGTGGTTGCTACCTTAGCCCTGTAAAATACCTGGACATTTCATCAGTGCCTCAATTTTTTACTGAATTTGTTAGATGGGTAGCTGTGCTCATGATGCAGTCTAAGTTAGACAGATGTTTATCCTTTCAGGTAACACATTGAAGTGCTAGTGCCTAAACAGGTCATCAACAGCGACTGTTGAGGGTAATCTGAACTAATCACTCCTGTTCTTTGTATATAAATGGTTTGACAAAAAGATACAGTTCAAACTTTGAATTAAAAAATGCACTTATATCCAGGATATTTTGTTTCCAAGAATGGAATTCCTTTTTCTCTGAATAGGTAACCAAATTCCAGATAAATTCTGGTAACCTTAGTGATACAGTCTCTGTTGGTAAAACCTTCATTTTGACTGAAATGGATCCCTACCCCCTCATCAGTACTGCGCTACAGTAAACTATTCAGTTTACTAAATAGTAGGAAAAATGCATGGATCAAATAAATTAATATAGACTCTTTCTCATCATCATCCTGCATCAGTATCAGTAAACTGCAAGACTGAAGTTAGCTTCTTATTCGTAGTACACACAGGTGACATGTTGAAAAGTGCACAGGGCAAAGATAAAATAATTAAATAAAACTTCACATTCAATTCTTGGTGCATAAGTCAGCAGGTCAGCAGTCAGTATTCTTGTTGTATGATGAACAGCATTAGGGTCTTTGTTTTTTATTTATACAGAGCTGCTGTTTTTTTTTTGTTTTTTTTTAAACAGTGTTTTGAGAGTTTTTGAAAATTTTTAATTTTTGTCTCAGCGGCCCAGCAGATAGTTGCTTAGCGACAAGACACTTGCAGTGTACATTGGTACACACCCAGTTGATGATGTGGTCTACAGTGTTCACTACAAATGATGAGTGCATTGTAGTACAATCCCATTTCCAAAAAAGTTGGGACGCTGTGCAAAATGTAAATAAAAACAAAATACAATTATGTGCAAATAATTTAAACCCTATATTTCATTGAAAACAGTACAAAGACAAAAAAAAATAAAATGCTGAAACTGACAAATTTTATTGTTTTTTGAAAAATATATGCCCATTTTGAGTTTTATGCCAACAGCACATTCCAAAATAGTTGGTACAGGAGCAACAAAAGGCTGGTAAAATTGTGTAATGCTTAAAACACCTGGTGGTTAATTGGCAACAGGTCCATAACATGATTGGGTATAAAAAGAGCATCCCAGAGAGGCTGAGTCTTTCAGAAGTAAAGATGAGGAGGGGCTCACCACTCTGTGAAAGACTGCACGATCAAATAGTGCAACAATTCAAGTGTAACGTTTCTCAACATAAAATAGCAAAGAACTTGGAGATTTCATTATCTACGGTACATAGTAACATTAAAAGATTCAGAGAATCTGGAGAAATCTCTGTATGCAAGGGACAAGGCCAAAAAACAGTTTTTGCTAGCCTTTTTGGAAATCATGGACACTGTGTCCTCCGGGCTAAAGGCCACTAGGCTAGTAATCAAAAGCTAATATTCATGATGCTATAGAGGTGCATTAGTGCACATGGCATAGGTGCCATCTGTGAAGGCACCATTAATACTGAACGATATATACATATTTTGGCAACATATGCTGTCTTTTTCAGGGAAGGCCTTGATTATTTTAGCAAGTCAACGTAAAAGCACATTCTGCATGTATTACAACAGCATGGCTCTGTATTGAAAGAGTCCGGGTGTTAAACTGACCTGCCTGCAGTCCAGACCTGTCACCACTGAAAACATTTGGCGCATTATGAAATGAAAAATACAACAAAGGAGACCCCAAACTGTTGAGCAGCTGAAATCCTGTATCAAACAAGAATGGGAAAATATTCAAACTTTCAAAACTACAGCAGTTGTTCTCCTCAGTTCCCAAACGCTTACAGAGTGTTGTTAAAAGAAGAGGTGATGAAACACAGTGGTAAACATGCCCCCGTCCCAACTTTTTTGGAACGTGTTGTTGGCATCAAATTCAGAATGGACATATGTTTTTCAAAAAAACATAACATTTCTCAGTTTCAACATTTGATTTGTTGTTTCTGTACTACTTTCAAGGAAATATAGGGTTTACATGATTTGCATATCATTGCATTTTGTTTTTATTTACATTTTACACAGCATCCCAACTTTTTTGGAAATGGAGTTATAGATTATAGTGTCCCAAAATCACTCCAGAATTCCATATTATGATTTGGACACTAAAACAAAAACAGCTGATTTGCTCAGTAGTTACACTTAAAGGCAAATAGGGATCCTATTCAGGTACACTACTTGCATCTCCAAATTTGCTGATTTTAATTATTATTATTTTTACATCACTTGAAACCACCAGCTGCCCTTATTATTTTCTGAAATATTGAAAGGGCAAATAGAAGCGGTCCAAAAGTGCTTTTAGGCAGTAGTAGATAAAGGGTGAATGTCGTACTTACAATAAATACTTGGTGCATACTTTGCAAGTTCAGTATGTAAGTACAGAGTAACTAATTTTAAAGGTATATATAAGTTACAAAATAGTGGTACCACAAACTGCTTCAGTAAATATATGCATATGCAGTAGAGAAGTACAGAGCAAGACAGAGTAAGTACCTTTACTCCAGTAATTTATTCCATATTAAGTGGTATGTTTACAGATAAGTCCTCTAATACTGTGGAAACATTACATAGTAACTACCTGTTTTCTTGCCTTTGTGGCATGCAGAGCATAACCATAAATCAAAATACCAGTTAATAGAGGGAATTAATGTACTGGAGAAAAGTTGCTTACTGCACTTGGTGCTAGGTACACCACAACATGTACAACTTTGTCACCTGTACCTGTAACCTACTTTTCTGTTACACAGGCATGTGTTTACTGAAGCTGTTTGGTTGTACCTGTTGTGTAACTTCTTAGCTTTAGAAGCTGAAATATATCTGCTATTTCTCACATTAGTGGACTTGTATTATACTGAGCTTATTGAAAGTATAACTTCTGGTAGCTTATTACTTGTGGTAGCTTAAACAGTGACAGCGTGCTGACATTTCTTAACACAGGCATCAGATACCTTAATAGTTAATACCTTAAGTGTACTAACTAATTTGTGACATCACCCAAATGTGTCAGTTACTGGAGCAAGAAGAAAACGTGAAGCCAAATTTAGCTTCTTATTTGCCAGCTTTTTAATTTTCCATTCCACTTTCAATCACACAGCAGTTACATGTTGTTGATGGCCCATTTAAGGTGGAACGGAAAATCTGAATAACAAGTTGGCAAACAGGAAGCCAACTTCAGCCTCGAGGAGAATACACAAGACGCAGCGGCTACTTCTTCGCACAGAATTTAAACAGCTGCTCCTGAACTGGCAAAAGAAATAGCTCAATCCGTATAGCTTCCAATTTGCACCACTACTTGGTTGTAGAGAATCCTGGAATCTGCAGTTGAGCCATGTTAGAAGATTCCTTCTTTCACACGCAGAAATGCAAGTTACTGACATTATAAAGCCCATTTAGAGATGTAGCCTTATAGTCTACACATTTTTTTGTTTGCTTTTATTATTATGAGCCATAAAAATACATGCTTACCAAAATATTTATCTTGCACTTTGGTTATATTATTTTTGAAACAAAATACTTATTGTAGTTGTCCCTTTAACAATCAGTGTTGTTTTTGGGACATTGGGAATTCAAAAAAAAAAAGGAATTACCAAAAAAAACAGAACCAAAACGAAAGTTTCTTTTGTAATTCTGCATTGAAAATGTATCACATTGTGATGCAAAAATGACAATATGTATTGTGCAATTTGTGTATCGTTACATCTCTACATTTTAGCAATATTTTTAGCAAGGTTTTTATTAATGTTTTTATCATATGGTTTTGAATCTTGGACACAACTCCAACACCAGTTCCCTGCTCAACTAATTAGCATTTGCTTCACGCACTGCACCGTAGACTCACAAAATATGTAGTTGAGACTTAAGGTGCTGCATCTTTTGTTTGCTGTGATTACTTTTAAAGCCCTTCTCTGCATCTCTATCTTTTTTCGGATATGTTTATGGAAGTCTAAATCAACCTTAATCAGAGCTAACTGCACCAAAACATCCCACTTTAAACAACAAATTTAAATACATTACAAAAATTGCACAAAAATTGTAGTAATTGAACTGAATTCAGTGTCTGAAATGGTGTTGTGTGTTTTTCACAGCGCTTCTCTGGCGGTGAGACTCGGGAGCAGTGGCTGACCGACCTGCTTTACTGCTACAGTGTGACCATGTCCACTCACCGAGCCAACATGGCCACCAGGGACATCTACTAAGCAGCACTGGGATTCAGTGTTTTTCCTCTCAGTCTCTTTATTCTACTCTTCTGATTTTCACATTTTTTTTAAACATAGGGAAAAAAAATAAACCTGTTGTGATAATTACTTCAATACAGCGTTCCTGATTTCTTTCTTTTTTTCTTTATTAGCAAAAAAATAAGTGTTTACTCATACAGGTTAAAATAGTAATACACAAGCGACGTGCTAATGATTGCTTAGCAACAGCTCAACGACCAAACCTTCCCAGCAGTTTCCTTTTAATGATCCTCAGAGTATACAATGACAAAAAAAATGGTTGCTTTAAGGGGGTTGCTGTAGACTGACTAGAAATGTTTATTGACCAGATGAAAACCTTAAAACTGTTATGAGGTTGATGAAGTGGCATGTTTTTGGTCTTGTGGAAGTGTTGTGAGTGACTGAGCCTTTCATATTATCCATGGTGGCTGCTTTGCTGAAGGCCTACAAAGCTTCCAGCTCAAACACCAACGGTTCCTTTCCTTTACGTCCAGTATGAGGTATCTTGCACTGTTTCACTATGGCATGTATGTCAAAAAATGGCCAATAGAAAAAGACCACAAAATGTTGTACACATCCATGTGTATTGGGCACCCTTATGACACACATCTGGAAAATCAACCTGATAATAAGCTCTTAAAGAAATGCCCTAATGTTTAATTACCACAGATAATTTACCTGTGCTTAGAAACAGAACAGCAAAGCTGTCTCGAAACACATTTACAACATGCACACTGTATGTCCAAAAGTTTTTAGACACCTGCCCATCTCCCTTTGCTGCAGTCTTCTGGGAAGGCGTTACTCTAAATGTTGGTACACTGCTGTGAGGATTTGTTTGCATTCAGCCACAAGAGCATTTGTGAGGTCAAACACTAATGTTCGAGGATTAGATCTGGATCACTCCAACTCATCCCAAAAGGTAATGAATGTTGCTCCATCACTTTAGAGAATGCAGTTCCACTGCTCCACAGCCCAGCGCAGGGGGGCTTTATAACCCTCTAGCGGACATTGGGCATTGGGTATCTTAGACTCATGTGCAGCTGCCCTAGAGTGATCCATTCTATTAGCAGTTCTGAGTTCTCTTTTTGTATATATGAAGCCTTCTATTATATGTGCATTTCAAGTTTATGATTATTATTATGTGCTGTCAAGCCATCAAATGTGACCATATGGATAGTGTTTCTCCAGAATATCTTGTATCCTGTTTGGGTCTTTAAGCCTTTTTCGTGTCAGTTTTTTTTAATAAGAGAAGCGAATGGGCAAATGCTTTAGCACCTTTTTGAGTCAATATTTCAGTCCATTTATTATGTACAGGGAAACGTCAAAATTATTGTCTATGTCCATACAAGAAGCAACATATAGAGATCCTGTTGAATACTACTGGAGTATTCTTTTAAAAGGCAGTATTGGGAAAACCAACATGATAAAAAGCTCTTAAAAATACTCCAATGTATGATAACCATAGACAATAATATAAAAAACACATATACAATTTAAGTCAATGCCCAGGTGAAGCTGAAGCATTCTATTGTAAATGTGGGTCATGTTTTTCATGTATTTATTTTTATTATTATATTATTAAGTACCCTCAAGTCAATTCCACTCCTGGCAACCATATGGATTGTATTTTTGAATGTCCTGTATTCTATTTGGGTCTTTAGGCCTCTTTTTCATGTCAGTTTTTTTTATATTATAAGTGATTGACTTCTACTATGTTTTCAGTCAACAGGTCTTCAATCCCTTTACTATGTACAGGAACACATGTAAAAACGCTTGTCTGTGGTAACTGACAGTATGATACAGATGCAACATATGGAGATTAGATTGAATCCTGCTGGAGTATTCCTTTAAAAGTCTGTACTTATCCTTGTATATCATTCACCATTATGGCACATATGAAAAACCAACATTACAAAAAGCTCTTAAAATGCAGTACCTGTCCTCGAATAATAAAAAGACGATAAACAAAAAAGAAGCATATGTAGAATAAATAAGGGCACAGAATGAAAATGTGAACAATATGTGTAAATAGAATTAAAGATATAAATAAAACATATGAGACACATTTTGTGTTCTCAGTGAACATGGAGCCAAGATACAAGCAAGGCTGCATGCAATTTCAAATATTAAATTTAAAAAAAAGGTTTTGCGAAGTATCTATTGTAGAGCAAGAAACTGGCGTGACTTCCACTGGTGGTTATTATATTCCGCCTGTTTCCAATTGTATGCATAGCCTGCAGGTCGTGTTTTAGCATCTTGGTGTGTAGTGAGCGCTCCCATGCAGGTGGACTTGTTATATCAGGAGTATGTCACCTCTAGGACAGGTGTATAACCTGACGATGACAGAACGAAAGGTTATCTCATGCATATGCTGTGTTTGTGGGCTTAACCTTTAACCTATGTGGTCGTCAGTGGCAACAGAGGTTTGGCATAGAAATCTGGATGCTGGCCATGTTCCATCTTAGTCTCAGTTGGTTAAGAGTAACACTGAAAATGTGATCAGTATATGTCTGTTTGCACATGCAATTTAAAAATTTAATAGCTGGATGACTGGGTGCATAGCTTACTTGTCCATTGCTCCATACTGTGATTGCGATACACCTTGCAATATTTTATTGTGCAGAAATCAGAGACCACCCTTTACTTTTTAATTTCTATGTACAAGTTATTCATTTTTCATTGTCGGGAACAAAAACAGAAAACGTCTCACAGAAAATTAAACAGAAGCCTCAACAACTTTATTTACATACATCTATAAAACAGTGTTTAGTGTGTCCTTTGCCTTTATTATAGCTTCCATTTGTTTTTGGGAGACTTGTTTTCAGTTTCCAAATATATCTTTAGGGATATTTCTCCAAACCTAAACACATTCAGTGATGTTGAGGTCTGGACTCTGGGCTGTTCAGTCCAGTTGTTCTGAGAACACCAGCAGCTTCTTTGTTTAGATTTGCAAATTTTCCTCTTTTATCTATTTCCTTTTCTCAGTAACCACTTCTTGACAACTACACATCCTTTCAGACCCGTAGTGTTGAGTTGTCTTCTCACAGTGGAAGGATGAACAGAAACTCCTGTGGATTTTTTCAGATCTGAAGCAAGAGTGGAGCTTGATCTCCTCAAAGGTGAATGCTTCAAGTACTGTTTAATTGTTGGTGACTGTGGCGCTTTTTGAGTTTTAGGAATTCCTGTTTTTTTTTCAGTTACTTTTCTATGACCTTCCCATTCCTTATGCAAGTGGCTTATATTGTCAGAAATGTCTCCTGAAAAATGAATAACTCTGCTGTTTTGAAATTAATTAAATGAAAGGTGGGCTCTGACTTTTGCACAGTACTTTATATTACAAATGCAGTGGTGAATCAATACTGTTGGATACCTTGTGGAATTGTGGAACTGAATTGTGTTTGGTCAGGATGTTCACAGCACACAGTTAACTTATTTGCATATCGCAGCCTTCTGTGATATCAAAATTGTGATTAATGATTAACAGTTGATACATTCTATAACAGTAGCTGGAAACATGGAGTACTGAAAGCTATTTTTTCATTACAGTTTTAAATAAAAGTGCATCACAGTTCTTGTTCAAATGTCTGCTTTTGCAATTTGTAAAGGGTTTAGGTAACTTGACATAACATTGAGGTCTGTCCTTCAACATCCGGCCCAAGAACCTGTTTCCTGTCCCAGATATATAAATAAGCAGGTATGTATGATTTTCAGGATCATTTTGTGGGTTTAATGTTTGCATGTCAGTTGTTGGTTTCAGTTTGTAGTAGCGGAATGTGGTAATGGGTTGCTCAGTCGTTTTGTGTATATGTTTAGTGTATGTAGTCCAGTTACTGGGTACACTGTGTGATGTGTGTACGATGGGGGAGGGTCTTTCATTCCTTGGTTCTGTTGTGACTGCTCTGGCTGCTGGTACTCTGAGGCCGTAAGTGATAGGAAAACTGCTTGGCTTGGCTCAAAGAGTCCAGCACGTGCACACACTCCATACCGCTCACTGAGGGGAGAACAAACATACACAGAAAGCCTGTAAGTCATAACATATTCACATCAAATGAAGCTGTTTCAAAAAATGATATAGATAGTGAGAAAAGAATGAGCCTCATTATCAGCCACAATGACATCTGGGCAGCAAAAATGGGCATTTTAACTGTTTTGGCTATGCAGATAACCAGTACCACTTTACAATAATACAACCCTTATGAAGGGTTTGTGAATGGTTTACATGGAGTTTATGAAAGGTCATTCATTCAGTCATAACAATCTTACAAATTACTATTAAGTAGTTATAACACAAAAAAGGGCAACCTGTTGTTCAGGAAATAGTGAGCCCAAATTCATAAATACTGTTAAACCTCAGATCTTGCTGGTTACTTCTATTACATCTTCTCCATCAATAATAGCAATAAACCTGTCAGCTTCATCAGATATTCATATTCATTACACATAACACAGCTGACATAACAGCATTGGCTGTTAGCATTCTCCTCCAAATGTGATGCACTATCCAATGATGTTCAGTTTGAAAAGATGCAGTGGCAATACACATTTCTCAGAGAAAGCATGTGCTAGCCTTTTACCTCGCAGCTTGGTAGCATCATGTAACTGGGGGAGACCAAGCTTGTGGGTGGAACTGGCAAAGACTACTTTAGGAAGAAAACTCATCGCCACAGTTGCTTGAAAACAGAGACTGTTATATTTTGTGTACTTGTGTACTTATGTAAATTTCCACTCACGTTGTTTGTTGGTCTTGAGTGATAGGTCCAGCAATAGTTGACTCTGGCTGTGTGTATTAAGAGCAGACACGGTTCTGAGAGAGCGCCCCCTTTTGGCCTGGGCTCCACCTGTATAGGATAAAGTCCAGATATGGGGCCATATAAAAAAGGTCTTACGCAAATGCACTTACATGTGGCACACTTGTGAGGCATTATGCAAATACAGAAGAAGATCCATGTTTGTGTATGTGTGTGTTCCCAATTTGACTGAGCGTTAGAGTTGTGCTAGACTGGGAAGGTGTGTGTGCACAAGAAGACAGCTCGACATTCCATCTGACAGCGATGAACTTTTCAAAGCAGAGCGACTGTCAGGGAAGAGGGGCAGAGAGAAAGTGTGTGTGTGTCTCTACCTTGCTCAGCCATCATCACCTGTTCATGTCTGTGAAGGTCAGTTGCATTAACTGGGTCGAAACTCTACCTTATCTACTGATATGAAAGTGTGTGAGATTATAAGATGGTGGAATGCTGCATCAAAATGCAACACCTGGACTGTATTTATGGAACGTCTAAAGATTGGTCTCAGAAATCAACCTACACATGCTCTTTAGCACAGTACACAGGGCAGAGATTTTTCATTAAGCATCATATTCCTACTCTTCGCAAAATGAGTAATGTCCTGACTTATGAGCAATTATATGGTAGAAAGTCAGACACCACCCTTTCATTTATTTAATTTTAAAGTACAAGTTCTCCATTTTTTCAGAAAAAAATCAAATTGTTCAGATTATAGAATAGCTACCATCATTTTCAGGAGACCTACTTTCAGTTTTTCAAAGAAGTCTGCGGGTATAGTTTTCCACATCACCAAAGTTCAGCCTTAGAAGATTACATTTTGTGCTTCTCACAATCCAAGTAGTTCACACTTACTATGATACTGAGGTCTAGACTCTGAGGTGGCCAATCCATTGTTTTTAGAACACCAGCAGCTTCTTTGATTGATAAGTATGTGTGCTTTGGGGCGTTATTTTGCTGTGTTTTTCCACTCAAATGTTTTCCATAAAGTACTACATGATATATTTAGATTTTTTGTACTTTTTGCAGTGAAAGTGTAAATTTAGACCGTTAGGGTTAGAAGACCCCCTAGACCTGGGTCAAAAGGCCTTCTTTAACTTATTACATAAGATATTAAGTATATAATTTACATATAATTATATATATATTATATATATATATATAATTATATATATATTATATATATATAATTTACTTAGATTTTCATTATAAAGATACTGACAAGCTAGCATTGGTGTAGTCATGTTAGCGCTAGCTGTAGCAATCATTAGCTAGAATTAAGCAACATTTCAGCTATCTTGCTGAAGATGAGTTTGTATGCACATTTTGTAGCTCAGCAGAATGACATCCACATTTGATCTGTTCTGTCGTGTCTAATAATCATTTGCACTCACCAGTTCAAAGGCAGATGCTACTGCTTTGTTTAAACTGTTATTAGTATTATTATTAGAGGCTACAAATATTTTGACATATAAATTAAACATTCATGCAAATTAATACTGTTTTCTATTCAATTTCTTTATTCAGGTGCCCTAAATTAAATAATTTGAAATGGTATAGATCATAGGAAAAAAAAAAAAAGCTGGAACTCAAGTCACTCATGGACAACAGAGGAGGGACAAAGGGTCACACAATGTGTAATATAGGAAATAGGTCAGATAGCCTCAGTGACAGGTCAGACAATTATTTAAAAAAAAAACACAGCATTGCCTGACTGTGGGTGGCTCAGTGTTTGACAACAGTATGCTAAATTCCTTGTCATTATCGCTTGCCTGTATTCTGGTAATATTTGCAATATTTGTGTCATAAACATCCAAATTTTAAAAAATGATTTTAACTATATAGATTACTTGCAGTAATTTCTCAAGAATTGAAGAAGAATTTGCCTGTGGCATAGGAAAATAGACCAAAAATGCTTTGGCAAACAATACTGGTTGCTTTTCTTAAATAACTTCTATATTGAAAAAGACTGTTGTCGGAAATGAACTGTATATTCAAAAAGGATATTTTAAAAAATACAAATTTTTCTTTTGGTCCCCTCTTTTCACCAAGGTCATCATTCTCATACCAAAGTCATCAGCATCATGTGACCACTGATTAACTTCAAGTTCATTTTGTCCAGCTACAAAGTGCCCAACAGACCACTGGCTAAATTACTCTGACATAACCTCACTGCAAGGAATTGGCGATTAAATTTTTCATGAAATACATAAGCATTGGCTTGTAGCAAGTATGTGAAGTTCTTTAAATTCTGAGGTGAGAGACAAGAGTACTTTCAGTGCATGATCAATTATTTAACATTCTTTTTTAATAGAGCAAGAACAAGTGCTCCTTCTTTGCTAGTATTTTTTCTATCAAAGAACGCATCCACTGATATTATCTCTAAACAAATAAATACTTAATCATAGATATTCTGATGTAAGGATTCACATCTTGATTCAGCATACATACTGTGATACTGACCACATACGGAGACTCACCATAGATATTTTGTAGCACTGAGCTTTTCTTCCCCGCAGCCTTGATAGACGGTGACTGCACTACAGAAATGGTTTTCTGGTCAGTGAGATCAATACGGACTGGTTGGTCCCATAAAATCTGAATCAGAATGGCAATGACCTCTGCAGGCTCTGCCCTTTTTACACCTCCACATAGCACTTCCCTCAGGCGTCTCTGAACAGAGGACCTGAAAAAAAGAATAGGGGGACAAATTTAAGAAAACTTTGCCCACACAAGCGCATCAACAAATACAAATGTAGTCATTCTGCAAAGCAAGTAACACAGTGGACTGAATCTGGGCTATGCGCTCTTGTTTTGACATGAATTAAGCCTAGTCTTGGACTAAACTACAACCCCATTTCCAAAAAAGTTAGGATGCTGTGCAAAATGTAAATGAAAACAAAATGCAATGATGTGCATATCATTTAAACACTATATTTATTTTAAAAAAAAATAGTACAAAGACAACATATCAAATGCTAAAACAAAAATTTTGCTGTTTTTTGAAAAATATATGCACATTTAGAATTTGATGACAGCAACACGTTCCAAAAAAGTTGGGACAGGGGCATGTTTACCACTGTGTCGCATCAAGCCTTCTATTAACAAAACTCTGTGAGCGTTTGGGAACTGAGGAGACCAATTGCTGTAGTTTAGAAAGTGAAATGTTTTCCAATTCTTACTTGATATATGATTTCACCTGTGTTTCTGGGTCCTATTTATATATGATTTCTTCTTTGCATAGCAGAGTTTTAACTTGCATTTAAGGATGCAGTGATAAACTGTGTTCACAGACACTGGTCTTCAGAAGTGTTCCTGAGTCCATGCAAGTGATTTCCACTACAGAATCATGTCTGTTTTTAATGCAGTGCCACCTGAGTGCCCAAAGATCATGGCTAGCTAGTACTGGTTGACTACTGTTTTTTTTAGCATTACACAACTTTACCAGTCTTTTGTTGCCCCGTCCCAACTTTTTTGGAATGTGTTGCTACCATTAAAATCAAAATGGGCATATCTTTTTCAAAAAACAGTAAACAGAAACCCAATTTCAACATTTGATATGTTGTCTTTGTAATATTTTCAAACAAATACAGAGTTTAAATGATTTGCACGTTTTCATTTACATTTTGCACAGTGTCGCAACTTTTTTGGAATTTTTTCGGTTGTACAATGCCAATGGTGATTCACCAATAAAATCGTTTTTAAATGTCATTATTGTAGTCTTATGTTTAATATGCATATGAAAACCTGTATCTGTCCCTTGTTTTGTTTTGATTGTCTGTTGCCCACTTGTTTGTCTCTTTGTTTTTGTTTTGTTAAAGTCACAACATAAAAACTTTTCATAACAACAACAAAATGATTATGTAAATTGTTATTAATTCAATGTGTTCCCACAGTACAAAGTTTACACGCATGAAAAAGCTTTTCATGGGGTGCCACATAGCAGCTTAGTTTTATACTTGTATGTACTTTTAATTAAATGCTTACACTCACCTAGCACTTTTTAGGAACACCTGTACACCTATTCATTCATGCAATTATCTAATCAACCCATAATGTGGCAGCAGTGCAGTGCATATAATTATGCAGATACTGACGAACAGATTCAGGTATTGTTCACGTCAACCATCAGAATAGGGAAAAAATGTGGTCTCTGTGATTCTGACCATGGCATGATTGTTGGTGCCAGATGGGCTTGTTTGAGTATTAATGAAACTGCTGATCTCCTGGGATTTTCATGCAAAATAGTGTCTAGAGTTTACTTAGAATGGTGCAATAAGGCAAAAACATCCAATGAGCGGCTGTTATGCAGACGCAAACGGCATCTTAATAAAAGGGGGGTCAAGGGAGAATTGCCAGACTGGTTCGAGCTGACAGAAATGCTACGGCACCTCAGATAACCACTCAATTGTGGTGAACAGAAAATCTCAGAATGCACAACAAGTCGAACCTCGAGATGGATGGGCTACAACAGCAGAAGACCACGTGGGTTCCACTTCTGTCAGCCAAGAAACAGAAAACTGAGGCTGCAGTGAGCACAGGCTCACCAAAACTAGACAGTTGAAGACTGGAAAAAATGTACCCTGGTCTGATGAATCTTGATTTCTGCTGAGGCATACAGATGGCAGGGTTAGAATTTGGCACCAGTAGCATAAATCCACAAATCCAACCTGCCTTGTGTCAACAGTCCAGGCTGATGGAGGTGGTGTAAGGGTGTGGGGAATGTTTTCTTGGCACAGTTTGGACCCGTTAATACCAATCAATCATTGCTTGAACACCACAGCCTATATGAGTAATGTTGCTGACCATGTGCACCTTCCTGCCATGGTCACATTTTACCCATCTTCTAATGGCAACTTCCAGCATAATTATGCACCATGTCACAAAGCAACGGTTGTCTCAAACTGGTTCCATGAACATGACAATGAGTCCAGTGTTCTTCAGAGGCCTTCCCACTCTCCAGATCTGAATCCAACAGAATACCTTTGGGATGTGGTAAAACAGGTAATTTGCAGCATGAAAGTGCACCTGAAAAATCAAGAGCTGTTGCATTCATGTCAACACGGACAAGAATCTCAAAGGCATGTTTCCAACATCTTGTGGAATTCATGCCACGAAGAATTCTGGCTGTTTTGAGAGCAAAGGAAGGCTCTACCCAGTATTAGTATAGTGTTCCTAATAAAGTGCTCGGTGAGTTTATATACCAAAAGTTACAGACCTAAATGTGCTACCTACACTAATGCTAATGACTTGTTTGAGATGTCTGGACATCAGTTAGCAGTTAGCTTTTAGCTAAAAATAGATAAATAATGGTGCAGATTACAATTACAATGCTATTGGATTTATGTTCCACATCTATTTAATAAACTGTCAAATATGATGTGTAGAGCTGTCCAAGAAGTAGACAATCCGCAACCAGAGACCCTCCCCAGGGGTGAATGGGAGTAAGCAGAGGAAATACTGAATACCCTGAACAGATTGCTATTTTGAGGACATAGTGGACAGATAATGTTACTCATTTTCTTACATCATCAAACAGAAACGATATGAAAAGATTAAATATTGTAGAAGAAGTATATGATAATCGACTAATACATCCCTGTATACTGTTCTTTTAAAATAAGTAAAATAACTGAAAATAGCATGGAGTGTCATTTCTCAGACCTTGGCCCATCATAAATACTTTATTGACAATCTAAACAACTGCTGAATCTCCAAGACTTTACTTAGCTAGCCAAAGCAGGCTTACTCATGTCAAATCAGCTTTACTGATAGCAGTTTCCATTGTTTTATACAAGAAAAATGAACTGAAGCCGGACAAAGTAGCACACATTTGATTAACTGGCAAGCCAACAAATATCCAGACTGTGCTGGCGTCAAGCTTGGCTCAGAACTTACAAGGTCTAAATAGATTTACCAAATTAGGCCTTGTGCTTTTCCAGAAAAAAAGCAGAGGACTGCCATTTCCGCTTATGTTAGAGAATTCAGGTTCAGCCTCTGCAAATTTAGAGCATAAAGACTCAAATCTGAGTGAGTGAAGTTGAGTGAGTGGCTGGTGTTGGAGTGACAGAAAGAATCCAACATGTTAAATTTTAACCCTGCTACACTACCACTAGCATAATCAGCTCCACTATGTTCTCCTTAGCACTGCTATTGTTCGATTTATGGTTTAACATGTATTTGGTGATAAACTGTTTGTTCTAATCAATTGTGTGGGGGCATATTTTTGTTTCTGGTGTGCTCAAGGGGTACTTAAAGAAGTGTTTTGATAAAGCCATCAGTAAGCACAGCTTAGCCTAACAGCTTAAACTTTTAGCCACTTAACCATATACCAAATATACACATATACACAGACAGACCCCTCCTCGGCTAAAACCCCGTCCAAAGTGTTGTGCAGGTGGGCAGGGTGCCAGACCACAGTTAAAGAGGGCACATGTGGGAAACATATGGGCACTCACATTATAAGAGTATATCCACAGCACCAGGCACATAACCACACTCATACTTTGTCTAAGCTATACTGTCTTAATTCTGTCTTTAAGTAAGGTTTCTTTATGGATCAATTCCTACTGTCTAACTTTCGCTGAAAGAATATTTCATGAAAAATTTCATTTTCACAGTGTTCCCCTTACTCTAAATGTAGTCAGTCAGCCAAGACATGTTTGGTCTCCAAAGTTTGCTTCCTTAGTTTTGGGGGAAAAAATAGCCATGTACAAAAGTTATGGCAATTAGAATTTTTTTTTTCGTGGCAAACCTGGCAAATAAACAGAAATTGTTAACTAAAATGTGCAGAAAAATGCTATATTTAAGTTTGTTCCCCAAAGAGAATGAGTTAACTTAATTTCACTTAGAAAATCAACTGAACATGTAGTTTGACAGATGTCTTTGCAAACAATTTTATATAGTGTCGTAAACCACATAAATAACTCTATTTGAGATTAATTAATAACTGTTTGTACAACGCAAATTGGTGGCTTTTGTTTACTTGTTAGCCACATTCACCTTGTAGCTTCGGTGCAAAATTAACAAAGCAAATTTTAAACAGCAAACATAGTAGACTAGTGAAGTCTAATATACTTAATTTGGGTGTGTGTAAATAAAAAAAAATGATATAAATTAGATTTTTTTCTCTATTCCTTTAAATCTTTACAAATGGTTGATATATAAAATTTGTAAATAAAACATACCTCCTCCATGCTGTCTGTATTATCCTTGCTGCCTGATTCTTTTGGTAGAGACTTTTTCTCTTATGTTCCCTTTCTTTTTCTACTTGTTTCTTTTTCTCACTCTCTTTCCGTCTCCCTTTCTCTGTTTCAGGTCTTGTGCCTTTGTTTTTATCTCTTTCCACAACTTTTTCTCCTTCTCTCTCAGTCCCTGTGTCTTTCTCCTTCTCTTTATCAGTCCTTCTCTCCTTCTGTCTCTTGGTCCTGTATGGCTTCTCCGTAAAACCCAAGCTGCTGGGTTGCTGGACAGCTGCAGCTGAACAGCTCCTTCTGGATACAGGTTTGGAGTGGGTTTCTGTGGAGCTCTCGGTGGATGCAGTATGAGGTGCTTTTGAACAGGCTGCTGAAGAAGCTCTGGAGTGACTCCCCGAAGTCCTGGGTCTGGAGTGGGCAGTATTTCTGGGAGCTAGGGTGGTTTCTGTGGGTCCAGGTGCTGACTGGGACCCTGTGTGTGCTGGCCTGGCACTGCCCGGCCTGCTGGAACCAGCAGGAGAATGACGCTCACGCCTGGTTATACACTCTTCAGACTCACAAACCACTGTCTTTGTGTCTGAACTGTGTTTTACACCCAGAGAGGTTACTGGTGGGGTTAGAGTCACTGAGAGGTGAGGGGTTTCTGGTGTTTCAGTCTCTGGCCTGTGCTCTGAAAAAGCAAATGTAAATGGTCTTATCACATATGTGTAACACAGCTAAAAAGTTTGGAATTACTAAAACACAAAGCAGTGATTAGTAAATTCAATTTGATTTGTATTAAATTGAAAACAGTACAAAAACAGAAGATTTGATGTTTTACCTTACAAACTTTATTGTTTTTTTTTTTTTTAAAGTGTAAAAATTCAGATGTGAACCAAAATTTGGCACTCTTTTTTTTTTTGTCAGGCCTGCTTGGCTAATGTTAGAATGCAATGTTTACATAGGTTTATCTATGTATTGTTCAGTTTTGTTTTTACTGTTTTGCACAATAATATTATTTTAGATTTACATTAGTTGTTAAAATGTCTCTTAAAAAAATGAAGGGATGTTCCAGTATAATAAGCCACTGTTAACTTACAAAATTGGTTTACTTAAACACCCAAAAATGAAATTATTTGAAAATCTACACAGTATATACTGTGATATATACACCAAAACCATCACAAGTATTAATTCTCCTATGATATACATCTTTGGCCATACTGCCCACTACTTCGACCATACCACTTTCAGTCATGTTAGCATCATCTACAGCTCCATTCATCATTCTAAAATGTCTTTTTTTGAATCATAGCATCCTATGAATTACTTGAAACCTATGAAATTGCACAGGACTAGCCTATTAGAATGATTATACATCAATCTGTAACCAAACTGTTTTATTGAAAATATTCCATTTATTGAAAGATTCCTTTTAACTATGAATGTAAATGTACCAACAGTTACACATGTACTATAAGCATAATGTGTGCAAACTACATACCTTTATGTTTTTGCTTTTTGTCTGTCCTGATTTGGCTATGATGTACTTTTGATGGTTTTCTAGGTTTGAGACCTTTAGGCATCACCGGTTCCTGAACCTCTATGTTGTGCTCTGTCTCTACCAGTGATGGTCTTTTGCCTCCCACTTGCACGAATGACATCTGTTCTTGCAGTTCTGCTTCAGCCAACGAAAGCTGCTGTTCTGCCTCACGCCGACGCTCCTCTTCCCTCTTCCTACAAACAGATGGAAACCTCCGATCAACAGTTTAAACAGAAAACATACATATATTCACATAAACACACACACACACACTCAACTTTTATTATACTTGTGAGGACCAAGCACTGCCTTAAATGTTAGTGTTCCAAACTATTTTACTATTCCAAGCATAATCTTTACCTTTTCCCTAAACCTAACTTGTACCTAACCCCTACTTCTGCCTTAACCATTCTTGATGCACCACTTTTGATAGATGCTTCTAAAAAGTAAAAAAAATGTTACAAACCTAAAGCATAACGCTAATGCTAAATTCAACCATATTCTATATTTATTTTGTATTTTTGCCCTGAAGTCAGCTTAATAACGCTGGTGTGGTATCAAAATGGTAGTAATTATACTACATGGCCAAACATATGTGGACACCTGACCAACACATCTATATGAGATTGTTGAAGATCCCAATTCAAAACCAAGGATATAAATATAGAGTTGCCCCCTTCTTTGCAGCTATGACAGTCTTCAGTCTTATAGCAAGGCTTTCCACAAGATTTTGGAGTATCTGTGGGTATCTGTGGGAATCTGTGCCCGTTTAGTCAACAGAGCATTTGTGAGTTCAGGCACTGATGTTGGACATGAAGGCCTGCCTCACAAACAATGTTCCAGGTCATCCTAAAAGTGTTCAATGGGCTCTGTGCAGACCACTGGCGTTCCTCCTCTCCAGTGTCTGCACACCACGTCTTCATAAACCTCGCTTTGTGCACAGGGGCACAGTCATGCTGGAACAGGAACTTTACTGCTGACACTATGCACTGCAGCAGGTAGCTTTCTCCTGGCATCTGCAAACCCAGACTGCCATCAGACTGCCAGATAGTGAAATATGATTCAACACTTCAGAGAACCCATTTCAACTGCTCCACAGTCTGATAGCAGCATACTTTACACACTCTTAGGCTTGTATTTAGCTGCTTGACCAAAGTAGCCCATTTCATGAAGGCCCTGAAACACAGTTCTTCTGCTGATATTGCTTCCAGATGCAACAGAGGATAGGCAATTTTTATGTACTACGTACTACACCACTTGGTGGCTCCACTTTGTGAGTTTGCATGGTGTGTCACTTTGTGAATGAGCTGTTGTTGCTCCTTGATGCTTCCATTTCATAATAATAGCACTTACAGTTGACTGGGGCAGATCTAGCAGGGCGGAAATTTCACGAACCGACTTGTGGCAAAGGTGCTATCCTATGACAGTGCCATGTTTAAAGTCACTGAGCTCTTCAGTACGACCCATTCTACTGCCAGTGTTTGTCTATGGAGATTGCACATTCCTGCGGCCACATGGGTGTGGCTTAAACACCTGAACGCAATAATACACAATAGCTGTCTACATACTTTTGGCCATATAATGCATTATATGTTTTCAGTCTCTCTTATATCTTAGAATTAAACAAGCTGTTATTGTTACTGTGCTTGTAAGACTGATGTATATGAACTGAGTGCCCTGTTTTAACACTCATCAAAAAGCAGTCAATCTGTTAAATACTTATATACGTTGGAAAAAATTTACTTCACTGCAATACTTTGGAAGGCTGCAATGAGTCATTTGCTGCAATCTTTATCACTGAATGGGCGGCCATATTTAAATGTATTCATGGCTGTGACATTCATATAACCACAAATCCAAAAAGGACTGTTGTTGCAGCTTAGCTTCCATGCATGAACTAGACTGGAGAGTGAAGGGTGAAATTTTACACAGAACACGAAAGCAAGGAAAAATAGTTTTTCCATGATATGACCCCTTCAATTATCTTTAACGACACTTCGAAAATTTCAGATGCTTTATATGATGGAGAGCTAATTCCTTTGAAAGAGAAGCTGGAGACTGTGCTCAGTAGTGTGTGTGTGTGTGTGTGTGTGTGTGTGTGTGTGTGTAGAAAGAGAAAATTTTTGTGTGTGTGTGTGTGTGTGTGTGTGTGTGTGTGTGTATTCATTCATCCTGTAGGCTGACAGATTCTAAATGTCACATGAAGCAGCTGAACGCTACCCAGTTAATAGGAGAGAATCTCTCTCTCTCTTTCTATCAGTTTCTCTCTCTCCCTACCGCTCTCTCTTGCTCTCTCTATTGGCAGTAAGAAATTGATGGTAACACTTGATCATACTGCGCATCAGACAGGCAGATTAATGAGCATGCGCCGAGCAAATATTCGCATATTAAACTCGATCCAATATCCATATATACAAACCATTAATCATGTTAAGCAGTCTACTATCTGTTCTAGCATTTAACACATCATTCTTTCCGCTCCTTTACAAATTGAAATGTAGCTAAAACCTTTGTCATGTCCTCTTAAACTGATGGTTCAGCCAAATTACGTACAAAAAAAAGAATAAAAGTGAAGAAGATGGCTGCTTCTAAAGCATTTAGCTATGCAATGTACTTTTGCACATTTCTATAGGTAACAGTTTGTCATACAGTGTGAACACCACTGATGTGAGAGAAATAGGAAAATATGGCAAACGTGATGATACAGACAGTGATTTGGCAAATCACCACATATTGGATCGCAATAAGCGTTGGTGCAAAGGGGCGGTGGAGGGGTGGCGGTGTCACTTTTTGAAATTATGCAAACTTTTTTTTGGGGGCGACTGTCACAAAATGTATAGTCTTCATTATTTGTGAATATATTTGAGAGATACTTTTTCAAAAATTTCCCATAGCAATAGTTTCTGTTTTTCTTTAACTTTTTACTCCAAGGAGTGACAAACTAAGTTTGTTTGTATGTTACGAACATCAGTCTGATTAACTACTTCATAATAAATTACATCACAATATACTTTTCAGAGAATATTGTGGATATCATCAGTACTTACAGTTTGTAAAACACTGAATAAAAAACTTACAAGTACAAAAAACTGTACTTGTAAGTTTATAGGCAATACTATAGTATTTGATATTTGGCCCTACATGCTCTATTTTGTCTGTTCCAACCTATTACATCTCAGAAAAAAACTAAATATTGTGATGTATATTGTGTATCATGAAAATTTTGAAGTATCCATCCATCCATCCATCATCTAAACCGTTATCCTTCTGGGTCGCGGTGGGGTGCTGGAGCCTATCCCAGCTGTCATTGGGCAGAAGGCAGGATACACCCTGGACGGGTCACCAGTCCATCGCAGGGCAGACAGACAGACAGACATACACATTCACACACACACTCACACCTAGGGGCAATTTAGCACGTCCAATTGGCCTGACTGCATGTTTTTGGACTGTGGGAGGAAACCGGAGTACCCGGAGGAAACCCACGCAGACACGGGGAGAACATACACTCCACACAGAAATGACCCTGGTCACCCGGCCAGGAATCAAACCCAGGCCCTTCTTGCTGTGAGGCGACAGCGCTACCCACTGCGCCACCGTGCCGCTCAATTTTGAAGTATCATGATATTAATTTTTAGTCATATCTCCCCCACCCTCACCCACCAATATGAAGTTCATAAAATTTGCACTAAATGCACAAAATATTTTTATGTCAATATGGTAGCTGTAACTGCAGGTGCACTTTGTTTACCTAATTTTATGTTTGAATTCCTCCCAAAGTTTCCCCCCTCCTTTGGACATCAAGCATGTCCTTAGGTTGAGGGATAATAAAATTTAAATTTGATTTCTGGTTAAAGCATTTCTTTAAATCTTGCCAGGTCTGTGTGTATGTGTGCGGGTCTCACTTGGCTGCATCTTTGCGGAGCTGCTCATGTCTCATGAGGAGGTTTTTGCGCTCCCTGAAGGCTCGGCGGACCTTGTAGCCTTTGTAGAGGGCCTGAATGGTGGAGGCAGCAATGTCCTGGATGGCAGCAATGGACATGGCTCCGTGCTCCAGCAGGAACTGAGTGACCTCTTGATGCTCTCCCAGCAAAGCATAGTCCAGAGGAGTGTACCTATACACACATCCCCATGTGGGCACCGTTTCATTATTGCATATAATGTTTTACAATACACTAAAGGAATAGTTTGGCCAAAAATCTAATTTTCACAATTGTCCTCTAACCCCAAATGCAAGTACTGGGACAAGTAATGGAAGCTTATAGCCCACCAATTAGCACTGTGCTAAATGTATAGCTAAATCATATCATCATATACTTGCCTCAGATACATATACACTGACCGGCCACTTCATTGTCCATTTTATCAGATCCTTTTAACATGTAGGTGCACTTTCTGGTTCTTCATTACAGACTACAGTCTCTCTGTTTCTCTGCATTTTTGTTTTGTTAGCCCTCAATGGCTGTAAATTTTATGAAAAAAAAATCACTAACTGTGAATGGGAGTTGGATTCTAACCAAGTTTTAGTTGTTTGTTAGAAACAGCAGCAGCCCTACGGCAGCTCTTGGAGTAAAAAAGGACTGAAAGAGTTGCTGTAAAATTGACACATACAAGGAAAATATATGTTAATGTCTGTTACAAGCTTCTGAGTAAGCATATGGAATGTATTTTGCAAGCTTCAAATGTCTGTGTTTAATCATCAGTGTTAGCTTAGGACAAACATACTATTAGAAATACTAGTAGAATCGGACACTAGCAGAAATTAACATTATTGTAGAGATGTTTTGACATTTATGGCCCAAACTAAGAGCCTAGCTTGAATAGTCATGGTTTGCCACTGAGCAATACATAATAAATCTGTGCATGCGTAAGCATAGTGCTGTGTATTACCTCTCTTCTGTATGCTCCATATGGTTGGGGAAAGCTCCACATCCCAGAAGAAGCTTTACAGCATCCAGATAACCATTGTTGCATGACCAGTGTAGCGCAGTCCTCCCCTTACCAAACAAAAACAGAAATCATCTGTTCACTATGATCTACCTCAAAGTACCTTAAAGCAATTGCGCATTACGGATCACATTTTGATAGTGTGCTATAGCTTATCGTCATTTACTTGAATTGATTTGATGAAACTCTGTATTGACAGCCTAAGACATGGGTTAGGATTAGCACAAGGGTTATGGTTAACTTTTGGCCTGTGGTTAAGTTTAAGGTTAGAGTGAGTGTTGAAAAACACTTGGGTAACTGCACATTGTTGTTATGCCTGAATATTATTTTGGATTATCAATACTTCACAAGTACTACTGGAATTTTTTTTTAGTTATACAGGGTGTCCCAAAAAAACTGACATCATTTCGTAGTCTAATAACATAGCCAATTCTCCCTCAAATGATCTCAAATTGGAACAAAATGTGTAAAAACTAACCAAGTTTAATTTTTAATGTTTTCTTCAGGTTGAAGTATGGCGTTCACTAGAAATGAAAAGGCATTTTGTGTGTTAGAATATGCTCAAACACAGTCAAACAAGAGTGTGCAGCGTGAATTTTTGAGAAAATTCAATAAAAAAATATCAGAAGATATTACATTTGTGAAGCTTTGTGAAATCGGTTATAAAATCTACATCTCTCTGAATTTCTTGACACCCTGTATTGTTTTTGCAGTAAGCTCTAAATCCTTCAGACAAGGAAAGCTGACTACTAGAGACTAGTCTGCAGTGTTTGTGCATGGCTCAGAGGTCTACCTCCTTGTCCTGGATGTTGGGGTCAGCGTTGTGTTGAATGAGCAGGGCCATGCAGTTGATGTAGCCGGCGTAGGCAGCACACTGCAGTGGTGTTCTGCCGGCCTGATCTTGCAAGTTTGGACTGATCCCGTTCTCCATCAGTACCTCGCACACCTCCGCATTGCCGCCCAGCGCTGCCCAGTGCAGTGCAGAGTGGCCATCTATGTCCACCAAGTCAACACGCGCCCCACCTGAAAAATAAGACACAGGCACAGGCGTTAACCCTTACATGTTGGTGTTTCTTTACATATTTATACCTTGAGTCATTATTTAACAACAACTGTTCTGCAAAGCCATGATAGTGTAAAACTGTCAGAAACCTTAACAAAATAACACAATAAAATGTCACTGTTGTAATATGACTTGTCATATTAACAATTGCTGTTGTTTTATGCAATAATAACAGTGTAGATTGAAATACTATCAGCTACATATTAAAATGTCTTATTTAATATGTCAAGTTTTTTGGAAAGATTTTTAGGGAAACTGATAAATAGTATACTATAATGTGGTATAAAATGAATCAGATATTTTATGTAGTGAAACAGGTTCAAGTAGAATTTGGACCCCTTCCCTGAATGGATGAATCTGTTGAGTCAAAGAGAACTCAAATGGAACTCAGCCAAAACTTGGAGAAGGACGTGTCTTCTGAGGGTGTAAGTGAAATATTTACAATTTTTATCATAATTTCTTGAGTATACTTATGATTATGCATTTGAGACCTAAACACTGAGCCAGAACTTCTTTCTGAGCCTGTGTGTGTGATGTTAATATGTAGAGGCGTATGACGTAACACTAATGAAATTTGAACGTTTCTAAATTTTAAATCCTTCATTTTTACAAAAAAAAAAAATCTTACATAGTGCAGCTTTAAATTGTTCACCATCTTAGTGGCTACAATATAGCAAGACTTTGAAGTAGGTAAACAGCTCTTAGCAAGAGCTTATCAGGGTAAAGGACAACCTCCACATGGTGTAGGTAGTTTTAACACAGTGCTATGCCTAAGACTTTTTTTACAGTTTGGAGAACTAGCACAATAATAGAATCATTTTATACATGTATCTTTAACAAATTGGTTTTAGATTATTGAAAATGATGAAATTTTGAACGGTAACAATAAAGCAGACAAAAAAGTAGAGGCAAGGAAATGAGGTCATGAATCACTAGGTAAGGTATGCATTTAACTGTGACCTCTACAGCCACCAAATTGCTCAATTTGTGTTTTAGTACACATATAGACCTTTAATGAGTGTAAGAATGACATCACGGTGGCCCATCTCACAGGCACGGAACAGGGGAGTGTGTTTCATGACATCCAGAGGGTCCACCATGGCTCCCTTTTCCAGCAACAACCGCACAGTGGAAACATGGCCTGAGAGTGCTGCCGCATGAAGCGCTACACAAACATGCCACACAAATATATCATTGTTAACCAATATGTTAAATTCAGCAAATAAACAGTAATTGTACTGAAGTGTGTTCTCTGTAGTGCAGGGGTTCTCAACCTTTTCCACCCAAGGCCCACCTGTTTATAACTACAAAGCTTAGCAGCCTGCAGGAAAACTAAAATCAACTTTTTAAATACAATTTTCTTTTTCTTAAGCGCTTATACTGAAATCCTGAGAATCAGGGTCTGAAAAAGATCAGATTGTCCAGTTCAATTCAATCACAGAAACCAAAATTTGCAGTGATGTTAAAAAAACATTAAAAAACACATATATTTGCCAAGATGTTAAAAAAGGGGGAAAAGGCAAAAAGAACAGTAATGTATGAGCTAGATGTGGACTGTGATTTGCAGCTGCAGTACATTGCGTTTGCACTGAAAATACTCCACTGCCTTTGTTCTTGAGATTTCTCCTTAATTTCGAGGGTTATTGTGATTACTTTAAAATGGCCAAACCACAGTCCACTCACCAGATTTTGGATTAGCATCATCACAATCAAAGATAATTATAATAAACTTAACTTGATATGTCGCTGTTGTCGGAAAAAAAACTCATATCTCCAAAATGATCACCTCACAGGAAAAGGAAAAAACCTACTACACTTTTAATGTAAGACAATGGAACCATGCATCTTTCCAAGTCATTTTGGGCCATTTCTTTTCTTCATGAAGTTTATATACAATGTAAAGACCAACAGGCATTTTCAAATTATGACAAAAACGTGAGGTTACTGGCCCACTATGAACTACTTCTTCTTCAGAGTACAGACGCGTGGACCAACGCAGGGTGCTTTACGGTCTGATGGTGGTCTGTGGTCCACAGGTTGAGAAACCCTGCTGTAGAGAATGTGTTATTATCACTTAAAAATCAACAAAACATGAAATGTGACCAAACCTATGAACCTAGCGCCCCAAATATTAGCATGACTGTTGTTTACTCCCCTTATCTGCCAAGCGGACTGAGAAATCACTGCCTAATGAGAAGTTAACTCGTCCAATTAAACTGGAAATGTATCCAACATTGTACTATGTCATGATATAAAGCATATGAGACAAGGAACAAAAGAACAGTTTGTCATGATTGCAATTATTCAAGTTGACTGCAATCATTTTCCACAGTCCTTAAATTTCATGGTCATAATATGCTGCAACTAACAGAATGTGAATTGAATGTGTAAATGCATTCACTGTGATACTTGTGGAACTCATGAAAATTTCTAACGTTGTGCTCTAAGCTGTTTAAGGAGTAGTGCAAGTAATGTTTGTTTATTTGTTAAATAATGTAGATAATTCTAGCATGTATGCTGGCAGAATGAATATTTTTTGTGTACATTTTAACTCTCAAGAAGACATTTGAAGACAATTGTTTGAGTAAACATATCTAGGAATAAGAGAAGGCTTCTTTAATCGTTGCACACAATGAATTAAAAAGACAATTAAACCATTAACTGCAATTATTTACTTGTCAGCTTTATGACCATTACAGCCTTAGTCAGAATGAAATCCTGCAGCCACACTAGCACTTTGCAGGCAAGACTGGTCACCCCTGGTAATGCTCTTCAAAGAATACTGAACTACTGCTTTAACTCCTCCTCTAAATGTACCTTTTATATTGCTTTGTGATATTTAGCCATGTTTGGGAATACCTCATCTGGGTAAATTTTTAATTCCTTTTCAAATATTGCAATATTTATAGCAAAAGCCTAAAATAATCTCCAATATCGTTCAGCCCTAAACTACGTATGCAGAGGTGCTTTTCTACTCTCACCTGTTCCTCCATACTTATCAGCCATGTTTATGTCCAGTTCTTCCTTAAGTTCCAGCATGGTTTTGATGACATCATCGCTGCCCTTCCCAGCAGCCCACATAAAAGCTGTCCTGCCCTCCAGATCAGGCTCATCTCGGACTGAGGGGTGCTTCAAAAACACTGCCACCGTGTCCTATTGGGGAGGGGGTGTTGAAAATGAAAATAATCTCTGATTATAGGCCTGTGCAAAACTCAGAGACCACTCTTTTTTAAAATTAACTTTCAGTCAAAACTGCCATTATGCACGTTACTCCTTGTTCAGCAGATATTTCTGAGGAGATTATATATATGATGATATACTTGCATAAGAAAGGGGAAAGTCAAAGGAGAAGTGGAAAAATAGGAGCTTCAAAAACTGGAGTTCATAAAAATGATTAAAAACCATGCAAGACTATGGTAGACCACCAAAACTGCCACCATCAGTAAAACAGTACTTAAAGCTTTCATCTCTGAGAGACTCAACTCTTGCTTCAGATCTGAAACAATCTTAAAGTGTTATGTCCATCGTTCCATTGTAAGAAGACAACACAATGCTATGGGTCTGAAAGGATGTGTAGCCATTAAGAAGCCATTACTGAGAAAAGAACATAGATAAAAAGGAAGAACATTTGCAAATCAAACAAAGAAGCTGCTGGTGTTTTCAGAACAACGGATTGACCACCCCAGAGTGCAGACCTCAACATCACTGAATGTGTTTGGATTACTTAAGAAACAGGAAACACAAAAAACCTCTAAGACTGAACTTTTGAGGTGTAGAAAAATATCTATAAGCTATAATAAAGGCAAAAACAAATGAAATAATATTTAGTTTTTGAAGCTTCTGGGAAATTATCTGGTAAATATTTTATATATATATATATATATATATATATATAGAAATAAATGAAATAAATGAACATTTGCACAACACTATATGTAAGAAGTGGTTTGTTCATGTTTAAGTTTGAAAATGTGAAATGCATCTTATACACATGTATGTCTTACAGCATAGTTGCTCTGAGCTCCATAGTGCAGTGGTGTGGCTCCCTGGCTGTCTGATGGAATCATGCCTGACTTGTTCCTCTCAAGCAGCATGTGAACAATCCGTGCGTGGCCTTAAAAACACAACCATTCAATACAATGAGGTTTACACTCATGCAAGTCAACTCAATCAGTGCTGCTGATGTAAAGGTGGCCAGAAAACACTGCTCAATCAGTGCTGCTGATGTAAAGGTGGCCAGAAAACACCAGGTGAAAGTAATGTCTGGCCATATTACACCACTAAAATACAATCAGTCTCTGTAGTCTGAATAAAGAGAAGTTTTTTCAAATATATGGTTATATATGCTGTGAGTCAAACTTTCTTCCATCACGCATGGATGGGCACAGCGAATCTGAGATGGCTGCACTTAATTCGACAGTGAAATTCTACTGGATCCAGATGCCATTGCATAACTCATGACAGATGGAGTTGAGACCATGTATATGACAATAAAAGTGCTAACTACTGTGAAAAATGACCACACAGACACAGTTTAAAGTGCCAATGTTCTGCATTTTTCTGTTTTGCTCTTTAGTAGGCTTATAACATTTACATGTTTTACATACCAAAAACACAGTCATAATAATTCGTGACTAGATTTTCAAGCCACTTGTTCTCTAAGAAAAAAACAGATTTTTGTTGCTGTGCTTTAAAGACTGAAACAACATGTATGAGCAATGAGCCAAAGCATTATGACCATGTGCATAATATGCTGTTAGTCCTCCACGTGCTTCCAAAACAGCTCCAACCTGAAGACGGCATGGATTCTACAAGACCTCCGAAGATGCCCTGTGGTATCCGGCACCAGGACGTTGGCAACAGATCCTTTAAATTGCAAGGTGGAGCCACCATAGATTGGCGGAAGCCTGGGCAACACCTTGAACTCTTCGTCATGTTCCTCAAACCATTCCTGAACAATGTGTGCAATGTGGCAGGGTGTATTATCTTGCTGACAGAGCCCACTGGATCAGGGAATACCATTACCATGAAGGGGTGTGCCTGGTTCACAATGATGTTTAGGCAGCATGTGTCAAATTGACACCTGCATGAATGCCAGGACCCAGGGTTTCCCAGCAGAACACTCTCACTTTTTTCACAGTGAGAAGCTGGTCATCTTCTCACTGTGTGTCTTGGTGCCATCACAACCCCAGGTAAACAGTTCACACATATAACCACATGATGTTACAGAAAATGGGACTCATCTCACCTGGCCACCTTCTTTCATTGTTCCAAGGTCCAGTTTCAGCTCGCGTGTCCATTGCAGGGGTTAGCATGGGCACTCCACATGCAGCAGGGTGTGATGCACTGTGTTGTGACACAATCCTCCCGAAACCATGATCAAGAATTTTTCTGACTTGTGCCACAATAGCTATTCTGTTGGTTTGAACCAGACTGGATAGCCTTCACTGCCCTTGCTTATCAATGAGGGCACCCAAGACCTTGTCACCGATTTGTGGTTTGTCACTCCTCAGGCTACTGTCAGTAAGGGCTCCCCACTGCCGACTGGGAGCTCCCCACAAGCCTCACAGTTTCAGAGATGCTCCAACTTAGTTGTCTGGTCATAACGATTTGGCCCTTCTCAAAGTTGCTCAGGTCTTCATGCCTGCCCATTTCTCCCACATCCAATACGCTGACTATATAAGCCGACAGTTTGCTTACTGTCTTAAGTATCCTAGACCTTGACATGTGGCATTGTTATGAGATAATCAACACCACTCGTCATTTGTGAGTGGTCATAATGTTTTGGCTCACCAGTGTATATTGTGCCTCAATGTATGGAACAAACTAGGCTGAAATTCCTTAGGGACTTTGGAAAAAAATAAATTTCTGCTACTTTTTTTGGATGTTTGGATCATTTGGAAAATTGCAATGATACATTTGCTTTCCAACAGCCAGGAACAGAACAATGTTTAATATTTTCCTCCCACACTTTAAAACTCCAATATCTCAGCCACAGACCAGCTGCAGTAGCAATGCTCCTGATTCCATGTGAATGGGTGGGGCATGCTAAATAGGCATGTGTCAATATGGTCATGGTTGTGACATTCAAAAATAGTCTGGTTTTGCAGATTAGCTTCCATATTTGGAATGTATTGACTGGTAAGTGAACAGGACATTTACAGGACATTTACAACATTAACAGTGTTTACATGATAAACATAATAAAATGGGCTATAGTAAACATCACAAAATGGGCCCTTTAAAACAATCCACTTAAAAGGCTGCGTACCCAACAGCGCTGCCCAGTGCAGGGGTGTTCTGAACAGATTGTCATAAGCTGTAACGTTGCAGCCGTCGTATGATGTCAGAACCTCAACCACCGCCTCATTCCCATCAGCCACTGCGAAGTGTAGCGGTGTGCGACCCTCATAGTCTTGCCAGTTCAACAGAGACTCAGTGGGAGCGGCTTCCTACAATACGGACACACAGTAAGCTGAGAGGGAGCTGTGTTTTTAGGCAGACACTCTGTAGCTGGCAAAAAGAATAAAAAAGAAATCCGTGCTACTTTTATAAATAGGGAGTAACATTTTTGGAATTCATTTCCTTATCCCAAAGGCAAAGTCATGTTACCTTTAATTTACTGCTGGTTTGTGCTTTCCAGCTAAGCAGTGCTCACACAGAAGGGACATTAAAGAAGGTCATCCAGTAAATTGTGGATTCTTTTTTGTGGAATGTTACTTAACTGTGTGCACAAGTGACACAGCTATATTACTGTTCAAAACTTTGGAATCGCTTACATTTATGATTTTATTAAAAATTTCTAGTTTTTTTCTACATATTAGCATCATTTTACACATTGGTTTTATATTCTTAAAAACACTGACTTCCAAACTTTTCTTATAGTCATATTATCATTAAATTATTACTGTTTTCAATAGCCTATACTCTAGTTTTTTCCTGTTTTAATCAAATTTATCTATGTAGCTCTGAATGTTAGCAGTGATTGCCATGAATATTGCCAGGTGTGTTTAGACATAATCATTGAACATAGCATTTTTATGAGTTTATACAAGGAGTGTCCAATCTTATCTGTGGCTGGAGGTTTCAACTGCAACAAAGCAGGAGGACACATGCTCAGTTGTTTAAAGACTGAGACTGACTGATTAAATGAGTGAAATCAGGTGTGCTCTTCTTGTGTGGAACGAAAACCTGCACCCACACCGGCCCTTTGTGGATAAGATTGGACACCCCTGGTCTACACTGTTAATATTTATAAGCCTACATTGTTGGAAAAAAGACAAAATGTTATGGTGCAAAAATTTATTGTGGCTGGCCTACTAGTGTGTTGCGTTTATTTAGCATGATCAATTATCATCAAGTGTCATTATCAGCACAGGGTGCTATTGGTGCCTCACAACTTGATTTAATTAAATTACTAATTAGACTGTAGATTACTCAAGAAATTTTGGTCAAGCTAAAACACTTCTCATTTTGTAACTGCAAGCAGATAATCATGGACAAATGCAATACAAGTATCTTCTTTTAGAAATACACTATATTGGGACACCCCTTCTAATTTTTGAGTTGAGGTGTTTCAGTCACACCCATTACTAACAGGTGGATAAAATTAAGCATATAACCTTGCAGTCTCGATAGACAAACACTGGTAGTAGAATGGTTCATACTGATGAGCTCAGTGACTTTAAATGTGGCACTATCATAGGATGTCACCTCTGGCACAAGCCAGTTTGTGAAATTTCTGTCCTGCTAGATCTGCCCCTGTCCTTTTCTGTAAGTGCGGTTATTGTGAAATGGAAGCATGTAGAAGCAACAACAACCTAGCCACGAAGCGGTAGACCACGCAAACTCACAGAGCAGGGACGCAGAGTACCTGTTGAATCATTCACTAAAGAGTTCCAAATTGCCTCTGGTATCAACATCAGCAAAAGAACTGCTTGGAAGGACCTTCACAAAATAAGTTTCCAAGACTGTGCAGCTACACATAAACCTAAGATCTAAATGTACAATGCCAAGCGTCAGGGGGAGTGATGTAACGCCAGATATGACGCTTCTCTATCTGGCAGTCTGATGGACGAGTATGGGTTTGGTGAATGCCAGGAGAACGTTTTTCCTGCCTGACTGCATTGTGCTAATTGTAAAGTTTGGTGGAGTTTGTTTGTTTTTCAGAGTTCAGAGTTGTTTTTCAGGGGTTGGCCTAGGCCCTTAGTTCCATTGAAGGGAAATCTTAATACTTCAGTACACAAAGACATTTTGGACAAAGACAGATTTCAACTCCATATTAATGCTATGAAAAGCTCCTGTAGGTGCAATGTGTAGGTGTCCTCACACTTTTGTCTATATAGTGCATCTCTATATTTTGTGTGAAAATTTCATGATGAATGGGCCTATAGAAATGCTCCAATAGTGTTTGGAATAAAATGTCTTTACATTAACTTACATTAAAAGTAAACAATGTTGTTGGCCTCTCCTTTTAAGTTACCGTTTTGGAGTTTTTTTCGTTGGACACAGAGAATGTATTTCCATTGCACTGTGGTGACTGACATATTCAGATTAATGCTTTGTCCTTTTATCTACAGTATTTTAATTCATGTTAATATTTTTTTCAGTTTTGAATCTACTGTATTAGAGGTGTTTTCTGACCAAATCCACCAGCCACATTTTCTTTTCGAAACAAAACTGATAGACAAGATATGTGAGCCAACATTCAAACTAGGGATGCTTTAATACCATTTTTTTCAGACTGAGTAAGAGTACATGTTTTTCAGTGCTGATACCGATACAGTATCATAATGAGTAACCTACATAGTAGTAGTGTCAGTGTAAATGAGTGCAATGTACCTTAACAGTTGAAATATAGCTAATTTTAAATGACGTACATTAGCTAGCTAGGTTAAAATTAGTTACCTTGGATCGAGTAGTGCTACAGCGGAGAGTGTGATTTTGTTCCACATCAGAAAAAATGCTTCTGTACAGCTATAAGTAAAGTATGCTTTATAGTTTTGATCCCCGCTCCTCATATGTCTCTTTAAACACCAGTCTCGCTAGTACACTGTCAGCAGGATTTACTTCTGAGTCTTGATCTCTAAGAAAATCTGTACTAAAGCATGTTTTGGCTGATCAACATCTGAGGTATGTGGAAAATTGTGTACACTTGATAATTCAACAAATGTTTCTTTTAGGACTATTATGATTAACTAGGCTCAAGGTTTTGGGCTCTGGAAGTTGATTTTATTTATAAAAAAAATGAATATTAGTCTGTTTGTTTGTTTATATAAAAACACAATTTAATACAAATGAATAAACTTTTGATGATATTCTGTGGGTACAATGAGCAGATGTTGCAGGCACCAAACTGCCCGTGCACAGTGTGCAGATACAGATTGTCTGCATGTCTAAAAAACGGGTGTGTGTGTTCTCACCAGAATGCAGCGCACAGTGTGTGTGGCATTAGGGTGTTTGTTGTGAGCAGCCCAGTGCAGAGGGATTTTGCCTTCGCTGTCAGGGATTCCAATGTTTGAGTCGTGTTTGATCAGCAGCTTCACATGCTCAGGGTGGTTGTAGAATGCACTCCAGTGCAACGCTGTCTGCTGTGGAGACACACAAACATATCCACACACTACAATCAATATCAAAGCTTATTTAATCTGTGCCTTTTTCTCACTAAGTTACATTAGCCCTTTAATGTCCTCACCAAGAAAAAAGCAATGGAATAGATGGCACTTTGTGGCATATACAGTGACTCAAAATGTGCTCTACCAAATGGTTGAGCAGAACATTAGAAAAGTCAGGCAAGGGCAGATCCTAACACTTTGTTTTTTTTTCCACTAATAAGTAATTTTGAAGTATTTGAGCAAGATTAGTAGTTCTTATACAATTATCCTGCACCTAATGTTTATGAACAATTCAGCCAAAAGTGGTAGGACTACAAACTTACGGGGGCTGACTGTAACAGGCTGAGGGGTTAGTTGTAATAGTCACAGAAAAGTCAAGCAAGTCAATGCAAACCAAAATTAATTCAATACAAATCTATGTTGTTTAAGGACTCAATACATAAAAATGTATTACACCAAAAAAATATATAATTAGTGAAAAAGACTGTGTCAATGTAGCAAACTTATTTTATTTACATGACATCTGTAGCTTGTTCTGATTGAAACTGCATAAAAACGTCCAAGAAAATGAACTGTTTTGGATTTATATATGATAAAATGTACTTTTCTCATTGTTTTCTTTAGGAGGTGTAATAAATACATATATTTAGGTACAGCAATTAAAGAGAAAAGAAGGCTTTACAAAAAAGTGTCAAAAGGGACTGCTTTTTCTAGGAAAATTCAGCAAGTTTCAAGTACACTCAAAGATTACGAACTATTACGAACCAATGCACAGATTTAAATCAAATCAATTCAAAGCAACACTTTTTTCAATGTAGTGTCACCGCCAGCGAACAGCTGTGTGATGCTGAAGTTAAAGAAAGCTTCTGTCTTGTCACATCATGTTAACATTAACTGACCAACAAGTTGAAAGACCTCATATCTCACAAATTGAAAATCTGTCAACAAACAGCCAGCAGGCACATAAGGCCAGACAAAGTAGAACTATTTTTTGCAATTGGTTGGGAAAGCAGCATTATCATGAGAACTCACGATTCTGCTTATCACATTTTTACAAAACCAACAGATCCAGATAAGAGCTTAAGAACAACATCCTCAACTCCTCCATGTAGCCAGGGGAACGCTCATGTAACCGCAACACACGCACACACTCTTAAAAGCCTTAATAACAGTGCTTGTCTGTGGAATGAGATGGTAAATGATGGCGAGTATGAGGAGCCGCTGTATGTGCGCGGCTCATCAGAAAGTAGACTGGGGTGAATGTTTACAGTAATTGGAGCCAAAGTGAATAAAGCTGCATGTGGTCTGTTAATCTGGATGGCTTGATACCAGTGTTTCCCAGGAAAGCATGAGGCTCTGAGAAAAGCAGCAATTACCTCTGAAAAGGTACAGAAAGTGCTATAACCCATTTTATTATCTATATTATCTATTATCTTATCTATTAATTTGTGCATAATTCAGTGGTAAACATGTTAACAAAGTCATTTGGAGTGATCTGATGTTAAAGTTCCAAAGAAACTTTCCGAGTCAGTATTGTTCATAGTGGTGGTGAAAGGAATTAGATAGATTTTTCAAGACTATTTTGTGAATCATTACACCCCAGTACTGTGCAAAAGTCAGAGACTTCACATGCATTTTTAATTTCTAGTCAAAATGACCATTATGTGAAAAAAAAAGCTGAAAATATATTTAACAGAAAATGATATACCACATTTTATAGTACATAATTATTCAAATTTTCTTCTTTTCTTTTACCACGGTGACAGCTTCTTGACAGCTACACATCCTTTCAAACCCACAGTGTTGAGTTGTCTTCTCACAGTGGAATGATAGACAGAAACATCTGTTTCAAAACGATGAAAGTACTGTTTGCCTAATGGTGACGTCTTGCATAGTCTCAAAAGAGACTCCCGCATTTTTAATATTTTTGGAAACTTTTGTTTTTTTTACATTCCTTTGACTTTCAACCTCCATATATAAGTGCACTGTCGTGTATCTAATTTCCTCAGAAATTTCTTTTGAATAACTTATCCTTAATTGCTGTTTTGCCTGGATATTAAACAAACGAAACATGGTCTCTGACGTTTGTACAGTACTGTATAAAGTCAATGTTTTAATAAGCTATACAAAGGCTATTTTAGAAATCCGTGCACCATTTTCTCTGTGGTATGTGATAAAAGCACCGATTTAGCTCTGAATTTTCCCAAAATTGCTAACATAGAAACATTCCCATCTTTATGTTTTCCGCAAAACAAGCCTTTGAGTGGAAATCAGTCTGGATTGCATTACTGTAAACAGTTTGGTTAAACACAGGTTTGTTTTCCCCCACCGGGACGTGCTCTCCGAATTACTAATACTGCTACCACTATTACAGCTAATTACTACGGCTGCAAACCTTCAATAGCACTATTACTGTGGACAATGAAACAACATCTACGGTTACCATGATACCATTTCTGTCCTTTGCATGGAAAAAAAAACTGTTTGTTGAGCACCAACATAGTCAACTGATTTGAGGGGTTCATCCTTGGAAACACCCGTACCAAAGAGTGACCTCACACACATACATACACACACATATACACACACACACAAGGTTAAAACGGAGACCCTAAGCCTAGCAGGCGCCTGGCGAGCTCTCTGTTAGGCAGTGGCTCTGAGAAAATATATTTTATTAGACTATTTAAATGGGCCTCATATCCTCAAGAGCAACATCAGAGAGTACGGCAAACTCCTGCTGTTTTACTGCACACACACCCATTTAGCCAGACACACGAACACACATGCGAGTTGACCTCATATTCACCTCTGGCTCCTACCAACAACATTTGTATGTGGAGTTGCTGGCAGTGAGGGATGACTGATTTGCATTTTCCTAGACCGATTGCAATATCAGTAGACAAGAAAAGGGTAACCAATATATGGATCTGATATTCATGCCATAAATTTGAAGTTGATAATGTGAAAAATTATAGGAACGCAATGCCTACACAAAATGAACATTAAGTGAATGTTATAGGGCTGGCCAGAGCAGCATTTCATTTAGCATTTCTGAATGGGTACTCGAACGCTCATTCTAAAAATATAAATCTTTTTAGCATTTAGTGTATCCACCTTTTCAGTGGACTTGCTTTCAGTTTTTCAAAGAAATCTGTAGGGATATTTTTCCACACCTCCAAAGTCTAGTCTGAGAAGTTGGTTGCTTTTTCTGTTTCTTACGATCCAAGTAACGGATCCCAAACACATTCAACAATATTCTGTTCTGGGCTCTGGGGTGGTCATTCTATTGTTCTGAGAACATCAGCAGCATCTTGATTTGCAAAATTGCTTGATTTGCAAATATTCATCTTCTCTTTATCCATAGTGATGGCTTCTTGGCGGCTACACATCCTTACAGACTCATACTATAGAGCCTGTGGATTTTTCAGATCTGAAGTAAGAATGAAGGTTGACTTTCTTCTACATATTAAAGATGAAACCTTTAAGTACTGTTTCTCTGATGGTGACAGTTTTGGTGGTCTAGTATGTCTTGCATGGTTGTTAGGAGTCCCATAACAGTTCTGGAAACTCTTGTTTATTGTTGGATTATAGCATTTCATCATTTCATAGGCTTCAAATACATTAATGCATCTTCTCAAGATCACCCTTAAAAACAATTATACCTACATTTCATAATAACTGTGATTTGACCTATGTTCGTTACTACAGTCCAAAATATGTGCAGTAGTTGGCAACTGTGTATAAACAGTCAGACTGAAGCACATCTGCTCGCATGCTGTGTGTTGCTTTGATAGAATCCACCATTTTAGCACTCTAGGTCAAATACAGGCTTTTTTAGCTGCTTCAATCACTTGTACAGTAAACAGTGTACAGTGTTTATTAGTCACGTATCTAGACGCAAAGTGTGTAATGCATTAAAATGACTGTTTTAGATTTAGTTTTAGCTGTTTTTATTTACTTCTTCTAGTTTTTATTCGCATAGTTTGCCTTTTTTTTTCATTTCATCATGAAAAGCAGCACTGCCGGCGAAATGCAGGCCAAGTTGAGTTAAGTCAGTCATGGCCTGTGGCCTAAAGGGTCGCTGGCTAGAGTGTCTAAAGTAAACTTCACCCCACACCTGACTAATTTGGCTGTAAGAGCCCACAGAACTATTCAAATTTGGGCTAGCCCTAGATCATAATGCTTAATGAAACACTAACATTAAACATACATGTATGCAAAAGTTTAAATATATAGTCAAATTCAACGGTTTGTTGATTTGCTAAGAGAAAATAAGGGAACAAATTTATAAATGGCATTTTTATGTTACAATTTAATTACAATTTAATAGCTCTTTAATCCCTTACTGTTCCAGGATTATTTCATACAAAGGCTTATTATTCAGTAACTACAAGGACTTTAGTGCAAACTAAAGGAGCTATTCTTCGGTTACAGAAGTGTGTAATAATGGCTTGTTAAGGGGTTAAAACCATTCAAATGAAAAATAATTAAGTAAATAAATAGCTCCCCCGTCAAGCGCATAACCAATTTTAAGATCAAATGAGACAGGTTTTGATTCAAGCTAAGAAGTGAGATGTGCAGCTGTATTTAGATGGCACCAGTGCCAAAGCCTACTGAATGTTTCTCTCATTATTACTAATCATTATTTCATTGTTAATCATTGTCTGTTACTATAAAGATCTGCTACTATACAGTAAACATGCAGCTCGTTGCCTGGGTATCTTACTAACATGGAGGTGCCAAAAAGGAGTGTTTGGTTTCACGTAATACGTGATTCCGGATTTAGCCAATTCATAGCATTGTGTGTGGGACTTGTTTTGACCAATCCAGGAAGGCTGTGGGCAGGACATTTAGCCCGGAGAGTCTGTCAGCAGTGGTTGCGTTATAGATGTGCATGCATCACATAAGAGCTTTTTATCAGCAAGAAAACAAGGTAAATTCCTGATTTTGATTATCAGAAAAATGACAAAAGTTGGGCCATGCCGATAATTGGTCAACCCTTACTCGGCAGTGTACGTTGTGTGAGTTTGTATTACTTTGTTCCTGTCCTGAGTGTCCACCTCTCCAGGTGCCATATGCTTGAGGAGAAGCGAGAGCGGTTTGGAGCTGGAGTGCCTTGTGGCCAAGTGCAGCGGTGTCATTTCCTCCAGATCCTTTAACAGCCAATCAGCATGCCGTGACAGCAGCAACTTCATGAAACGAACATTGCCCTGAAAAACAGACACGCACATACAAGAAGTTTGGCATGTCAACCCACATGACCATCATAGTGGGTACTGACTCACTAACTGAGCTTTTGTCTAATTATGGTGAATATGACATTAGGCCTGTTGGGGAGGACCTTACTTTATATCTGAAAGATTTTATCAGATGTTATGTGCCGGATTCCCAGACATGGATTAAGCCTAGTCTTGGACTAAACTGAAGTGTCAGTGGTGTTTCACTATTGGAAATTCCTTTTAGTCTAGGATTAAACTCAATGTGGGTCTGGGAATCTGGCTCTATAACTTTTAAGCTTCATCATTTTGGAAGCCACATTCATCTAAAGACTATGAGTGTAGATTTTTTTACTTTATTACTTTGTACTTTACATCTTTAGAATATTATTATGTACAATTATGGCTGCTCATAATATTGGAAGGGAAGGGAAAAAAATCAATAAATAATAGCTCACACACACAATGTAGCATTACATTTTAAAGCCCCTTTCCTTGATTTTCTTCTTTTTTGTCATTTTCCTTGTCTGTCTGTCTGTTACTCATTTAAAACCCATCAATTGAAAGATTCTCTAGGGAACCGAAAGTGGTTCTTCTATGACATCACTCCAAAGAATCCTTTCTAGCACCTTTATTTTTAAGATTATAGGGTAGCAACATTTGCTCTGAGCTTGTTTGTTTTTTTCACAAAAACACATTTACAATGATAACCTTTGTACAACATATTGCATTCTAAAGCTGTTATACTGATGTGTGTTTTTTTTATTTGATGTGGATCAGAACATGACTAACACTTTTGGTTGTTGATTGCTGATTCCATTACATTTGATATGGATTGAAACACTAAAACCAACGGACAGAAATACCTTACTGCAGTCTCGTTACCACCCTGTACTTTGCAAAAAACTAACACACAGGACGTTAAATACAATTAGAAGTATCTTCATAAAACAGGAGGAAATTCTGAAGGTACACAAAGAACAAACCACTTTTTAGGCTGTTTTGAAAAAAGGGCCGCTGATAATCATAAAGAAAAAAATCCACTGCCTGTATGTAATTATCAATTATTAGCAATGTATTTCTAAAATATGTGATATTATTACAATATTTTAATATCTTCCCTCTGTTCTGAGCAAAAATGATTAATGACAGATGGGTGCAGGCTGATTCTCTCAGAGGCACTCTGGGTTCTCTGGAACAAGTGCCTAAGTCACATAGTTTTGAGAACATGTTGATAGAATATTTTTGTCTGTATTTGCCAAATAAATTTCTGCATGTTTAAACTTATTTGGTTTTATCGCAGATCAAATAATACAGAATTAGTCTGAAATCCACTGTGGTCATTAAATACACTCACTTTCAGCCCCTCAGATTCATTTCTGGCTTAAGCCACACACACTTTTGGTTAGTAATTTAAAGAAATTCACTTAAGCATCAGTACTAAAGTCAAGTGTTAAAATCTGCATTAGCATTTATATCGTTATCAAACCCTTTACCCAGTCATACTGAAGATCACTGTTTTTTTTAAGTCTATAGAGTTTATATTTTATATAATGTCTATTAGATTACATATAAAATAAAAAAAAAAGTCAGAGACTTTTCAGGAGATAATCAGGTCCCACTTTATTTGGATAGCTCCCAGTAGACAATCTGTACAAACTATCTAAGCCTTAATTGATTATCTAGGGTTAGGGTTTGGATTAGGACCAGTGTGAAGTTTAAGTTTAGGTTTTAGATTGAAATTAAGGTTAGTGTTAGGGTTAGGACCTGGTTTAGGATTAAAGAAAATTATAGTCAATTTAATACATACTAAGTACAATGTCACTTAAATGTCAGATAAGCCCAGTCCAGAGACCAGACCTCAACATCACTGAATGTGATTGGTATTACTTTAATTCTGAAAAGCAGAAAATGTGACCAACTTCTAAGACTGAACTTTGGAGGAGTGGAAAAACATCCCTGCAGAGAAAATCATTTCATATTCAGTTTTTTAAATCCAGATAATTATTACCAATTTTTGGATAAAAGACCTTTAATTATTATCGCAATACTAAGAGAGTTTACCTCTAGCTCTTAGAATGTTTAAAATAAGCAGGTATTTTGTCTGCAACTGCTTTTTTTACTTGTAATTAAACATATGTTTTCAATTATGCTATTTGATTATGTATAAATAAGCATGTGTACGTGGAGATGCCTATGATTTATATCATACGCGCAGATACACATATGTGAGTGTACACTCGGCTCATTAATGGCCTTTAATTGCCTATTAATTCCATTATATATGTTGAATGCTTTTTTCCAGTGTATTTCATATGTATGCATATGTAAGCGGTTTGGAATAGGCACTTTTTTAATTTTGTGTGGGTGTGTCTAGCACTGTTACACATAATTAGTGAGCAGAGTAAACAAAATGCTACAGAAAAGGAACTGAAAATGAACTTCATTCAGCAATTCTCAATGTGCACAAGTGCAAAAGAGACTGCATTTCATTTATTTTTTTAATTTATAGTCAAAATGGCCATTAAGGGCAACCTTTTCAGCAGATATTTCTGAAGAGATGAGATATGGGACAATACACTTGCATACAGAAGAGGGAAGAAAACTTAGAATAAGTGGGAAAAAACAGGAGCTGCCAAAACTGGAGTTCAAAAAATTGGTAAAAGCTAAAAAGAAAATGGGACCCCTAACAACTGTGCAACACATGGCAGATTATCATAACTGTCCCCATCAGACAAACTGCACTTAAAGCTTTCATCTTTCTGTCCAGGTGTTTTTGCTTATTCTTCCACTGTGATAACTTATTCTATGGGTCTGAAAGTATGTGTAGCTGTCCAAAAGCTAGTACTAAGAAAAGGAAATGGACAAAAGAAGAAAAACATTTGCAGAACACCGAAACCAGACAACTGAGATGTGGTGTAAGTTTTATGGACTGATAAGTCTAAATTTGCAATTGAAATTTCTTGGATCGTGAAAAGCAGAAAAGAAAAACGTCTAAGACTGAACTTTGGAAGTGTGGAAACATATCCCTACAGATTTCTTTTAAAAGCAATCTCCCAAAAACAATGAAAGCTGTAATAAAGGCAAAGTGTGGACATACTCAAAACCTGAAAAAGCTGATATTATATTTAACTGTTGATGCCTTCTGTTAAACGTTTTCTGCTTTTCTTTCTGACACTGAAATGAATATGAACTCATACTAATTCATACTGTTTTTACTGTAAATTCAATAAACAAAGGGTATCTGACTTTTGCATAGTACTGTATGTAATGTTTGTGTATGTTTATTTGCATAAGAGTGTGTAACATACCTCCCTTCTGACTAGGTATACTCTCTAGCCTGCTTAGTGCTATGTAAAACATTCTGAGGAGAGAAGTGTGTGCGTGTGTGTCAGGGTTCTCAGTCTCTATTCTCAGCCCAATTAGTGTGTTAATCCCTGAGCTACAGCACTTATTGATCTAGATGTCAGAGTGGTACACATCAACCCCTCCCCTTCACCATGTCTCTCTTTCTCTTTCTTTTTCTCTCTCTCTGCCTCCCCCCCACCCCTTCAATGCCCTCCCCATAATATGACTTCCAGATGTCATATTATAAGTTTTATTTATAATCTTCACTAGCCCCCAACCTGTAATGTTGCTGACACCTAGACATGTCAAAACTGGCTATTGTGAGGTGGTGACACTCATTACAACTCTTAGAGACCCAAAAGAGAGGTAGAACAATGTAAACACTAGGGGGCAGTAGGCCCTCATTCAAAGAGTTCTTCAGCATCAGTCATTCAGTAGGCCAGTGTGCCGTGGGTTGTGTCAACAAGTATCCTAACAAATACAAGACGGTTTCAGTGACTTTGGTGCTTGGACCCCTACTAATCAAAAGGATGGTGGGAATGAAACGTGGGTGTAAAAGGAGGCAGAATGTGTCTGTGCTTGCTTATGTACGTCACCTTCTGTGCAGCAAGGTGCAGTGCGGTTCTCTTGCTGTGGTCAGCTTTGTTGACGGAAGCTCCCGCCTTCAGTAATGTCTCAGCACAGTCCAAGCGGTCAGCCAGAACGCAGTACATCAGTGGGGTCCTCCCAAATTGGTCTTCACTGTCTCTCAGACATGGCTCTGCTGCAGAGATTCAAAGCATCAACTCAAGTTTCACCATAATTCAATTCAATTTACAATTTATAAAATACACAAACGTTACAGGAGGAACTGTTTACACATTAGTGGAATACTGAAGCTTTTTTATTGTATTTTTACACTTGAAAAAAGCCATAATAATAATTTTATTTTGGTCCAAAACAAGCATATGCATTATCATTATGCTTTTACACTTGAAAATAGCCTGATCATTTTATTTTGGCAAAAAATGAGCACACTCATTAGCGTTCAAAAGTTTGGAATCAACATATATATCAGTATTAACAAATTTTGTTATTTTATGTACTGTTATAACTTATGTGGAATTACATTTTACAAAATATTCACCAAAAGGTATACGTTTCATTCATTATTTCAAGAATTTTTGTGAACAAGACCTATTTACATTAATTTTTCCATGAAGACATCTGCTTTGATGTCAGATCTCCATTTTTTAATTCTATGATTAATTCTAGATATCAATTTTATTGTGACTTCTCAGGGCTATACAGCTTTATCAGTCATTTCAGTATCATCTACGGCTCTGTTCATCATTCTGTAGTACAGTCACATGCAAAAATGTAGGTGCTAATCAAATTACACACCTTGTAGATTTTCTAAGTTAGCAGATCATCTACAAGGAACACATTTATACACATTTTAACAAACATTTACTGCTTACTTGTTGAATTGAACATATAGGTAAAAAAAAGTAACATATACATAATATGTAGTATGTAACACAATATGTGACATTCATAAAAGTTATGGCATGTTTTATATTTTATGTTTTGCCTTTTTCCAATACATTTAACTCAGCAAAAATATGTAATTTGACTGGGGTGATCAAACTTTTGGATACGACTGTATTTAAAATGTTTTAAGCTTTCAATTGTCTTATTAATTATTAAAAAACTTGCAAACTAACCCAGGACTAACCTATTAGAATCATGTTATGCACTTGTCTGGTTCAATACTGTTGATAATAATTCCAAACTTTTGAACTGTAGTGTACTTCATTTACATTCCATAATCAATGCAGTTGAATCACTGCCTTCAGACTGAAGCATCATGATGCACTCATGCATTTTTTTTACCTATATCTTTATCTAGTATATACCTTTATCAGTTTGTCCAAGGTACTACAGTCGTATGCAAAGTTTGAACACTTCTGTTCAAATTACATATTTTGGCAATTTTATAGGTGAACAACAAACTTATAAAATTAACAATATGAATATTTTGTGCACAATTTCTATTTATTTGAGTTTAACAAATTGGAAAAAAAAGAAATCTGAAATGTGCCATAAATTTTGCTCAGGCCACATCTTAGACTTTATTTTTTCCCAATATCTTAATTTCAGCAAATAAACAGCAACTGTGTGTTTAAAAGTGCATATGTATGTTCTCTATAGAGGATGTGTACTTATCTCACTAAGAAAATCTACAAAACGTCATTTGACCAGGGATGCCCAAACTTTTGCACACAACTGTATATGTGAGTACCTGTTATCAGCTTCTGTAAGGAGCTCCTGTCTCCATTTACAGCTGCTGCATGCACCTGAGAGCTTAAAGTGGTGGATCCGGACGACTTCAGGGACTGCTGGGTTGCCTTGAACACACACAAACACACTTGTTTTTATACAGTGCCTGGGCATGCAGTACTTTTTTTACATGTAGGTAGGGCTGTCAAATGATTAAAATAATTAATCGTGATTAATCTCATTATTTTGTAAAGTTAATTGTGATTAAACGATTGTCTTATTTGCTCAAATGTGACTGTAAAGAAAGATTTTTCCATTTAAAAAACAGAGGTAGAGCTTTGTTAGAGCTACATAAGTGGCCATATAAGCTTCATCAGAATGTATTTGTAATTTTCAATAATTCAATAACATCATTTTTTATTGTGTGAATGCAAGGTGAACATGAACCTGAACATGAAAATAATGTGATTTCCATAGAGTGAATGCAGTTTCCATTTTTCATTAGTGATTTCAATGAATGCATACACCATATATCTCATACATATATGTCAAGACAGTCAATGGTTCAATCTGCAGATTTTTGTTACAGTGGAGGCTCTCGAGGGGAACTGTCAAGGTATTTTTCACATTGCTATTGCGCTTAATAACTTCCTGCTTGTTGATTAGGCCTTCTGTGAGTACCGTCCACCATAGTCTGCTAAAGGTGCTGAAGGTGCTACTTAAAACGCCACTTTAAAATTATATTTGATTGAGAGGGCTAAAATTGTGGATTGTATTGTAGCAACATAGAGTGTGCCTCCATGTAATATGAAATTGAAAAACCCTTTCGCTAAACTGACCTCAGTAGCCAAAAAGAAATCAGTTTTTACAAAGGAAACAGAGCTTTAGTTCTGAAACACTTTATGAAGTCAGGGAATTACTGTTCATTGTATATTAGCTCATTTTTATATGGCTCTCCTACACAGTCAGAACAGTTTTGTCCTGAATGAAAAGAACACACACACACACACACACATACAAGCACTTAGCATCAGATTTCACACTTTCCACTCTAAAGGCAAATACTACCATGCAAATTTTAAGACTTTAAGCCTTTTTTCATCTTGCATTAACATGTGTTTTATGTCTTGATTATATCTGGATAAAGCCTTGGCTGGATTACTATGTGTCCCCAGTGTGACTAGAAGAAATCCGATTTTACTTATCCTGCATAAAAATTTGCATTGTTAATGTTTTAGTTTAGTTTGCTCTTTTCCCTGTAATGATATGAGTTGACAAGCTTGGCTTGGACACTTTTATCAGCCCAGAGAGCATGAAGGGTCTTTGTTTAGGTGTAACTTCAGACTTGCGTGCCCTCCACCTTACATTTTATTGTTTATTCTCTCACTTTCTAGTCAGTGTTCAGCAGTAGTATTTCCAATCACTGTATATGGCTAACAAAAAAACACATTCTATTTACACTCATGTGGTCAAGATCCATCTCTAATCTAATGTGGTTTGAGTGATCTGATGGTAATCCAATCACAATGCATCCCGAGGATGTTTACACCTGGCTTTTCATGCAATCAAGCAAGATCCGAAAGTAATTTCTTCACCAAAACGCATTTAAATGCAAAGTGTAAACAGGCCCTATAATAATGCTTCTATTTTTGGACAGGGTGTCTGGCAGCAAACATTTAGGAACCAACACACATGCACGCACATACACACAAGCAATTAGCATCAGATTTCACACATTCCACTCTAAAGCCAAATACTACAGTGCAAGTTTAATGACTTTGATAATGGTTCTGTTTTTGTTAAGGAGGTATGACCGAGAACACTCATGAACCAACATACACACAGCTGAGACAGCCTAAATCCTCAGACAGGAAGAGCCTGGTAATCCTCAGACAGGAAGTAGTAGGTAGGGGGCAGATCCCCACCCACCTCATTTATTATTCATGATTATTAATAATGCAAGAGTATTAAAAAAAATCTATTTCACTTGCCTGCTCACACACACACACACACACACACACACACACACTGAATGATTCCAGTGAAGTACTGAGAGTGTGTACACAGACTGGGGCAGGTCTGGTAACTCTGCAGTTAGCGACTCAACGGGCAAGAGGAAATCTGCTGCTGCTTCTAGTTTGAATCCATGCTTGGGCACTGAAGCATAGTGAGTCAGTAGCAGAGGGCTATAGCCTATGCGTTGGTCATCACATATGACACTTACCCCACACCCATTCTGGAAAAAAAGCCTGCCTTAAATAAACAAAAATTAAACTGTGTAGGTGGTTTTGTTTTTTCTATGCTAGAATTAGATTCATTAGAAACAAATACTACATCCAACCTAAGTGATCTCAAATTGGATTATCAGGAAAGTACTGAAATCAAGGTGAAATATCTTGAATAACTTATAAAAGTACTGAACCAAACTTATATTACCTTAAATTAATTAATGAGGAAAGTACTACAGCAAATGTAAATGGTCTTGAACTGGATAAATTAGAAAAGTACTAAACCCAACCCAAAATTTGTGTTTAATTTACCCGTTCTACCTTAAATTCTAACTGAGGCGCCGAATGTAAATGCGGCACCATTTAAGGTGGAACGGGACAATTCGAAAGAGAAGCTGACTTCAGCTTCACCACTTTTTAGTGTGTGACAGTCTCTTGTTGCAGATTTAACATACCAGGAAACCAACTATGCTGCTTATAAATGCGAATAACACATCGCTTCTATGTGACCTGCAGTCTGCATGCCGGTTCTCAGTCGTTGCGAAACAGGGCTTTCGCGCTATGTTGCACACGTCCCCTCTAGAAGATATTTTACTGACACAGCGATCCCTGCCCCCGTCTCTACAACGAAGTTATAAAATCACTAAAGAAAACGGGTAGAATAGCTGTAACATGTGCTGCGTGGACATCCATCACCACTGGATCTTATTTCACCGTAACTGCACATTTTATCGCAGATGAGTGGCAGCAGCATCTCGTGCTCCAAACAAGAGCACTGAATGAGAGAGCCTTCCAGTTCACTTGCCACATCACTTCCATTTGTTTTATAAAAAAACATATTGGAAGTAAATTCATTATGGATCATTACAAATACTTTGCTTTAAAAGTTCCAAGTCACTTTAAATAACAATAACACCGAGTCACTTAGTCACTTTAAAATGTATACTGTCTCTATATTCTGTATATATTCTGTGTATATTCTGTGTATATTTAATATATTTCAGTTGGTTTTTCTTGTATTTTTATTTTTACTTATTTACTTTCTGTAGAGTGATTACCTGAGCCTCACCACACGCATTTCAATGCATAAATGTCCTGACATGTTGTGCAAATGACAAATAAACTTGAAACTTGAACTCGAAACTTGAGCTCACACAGTGAGAAAATATAAATGCTATATAGAAAAAAAAGATGCATTGAGATGCATCGATAATCGTTTTATAATCACATCGCAGCCCTCTGAATCGTAATCAAATCAAATCGTGAGGTGTCTAGAGATTCCCACCCCTATAAGATAATGACCAAAATTATCTTAAATTGGACTGGGAAAGGACTGAACACAACCTAAACGATCTTGAGTTGGATTCTTTATGAAAGTACTAAACCCAAAGTAAATGATCTCGAATTGGATTAATCAGGAAGGAACTGATCCCAACTTAAATGATCTTGAGTTGAACTTTTCTTTATCTTTATCTTTTCTTTCTATGTAAACTTTGTTGTGTGGATACCAACTGAGGGTGGACAGGGCGAGGGAGGTAGATCGGGGGGCATTTATTTGTATTTGTGTTATCGTTGTACATCTTGTTTTTTGTTTAGTAGTAAAAAAAAAAAAAAGTTGTTCACAAGTACTGAACTCAAATGTTCTCGAATTAGATTATTAGGAAAGTACTGAATCCAGACTAAATTATCTTAAATTAATTGTGAAAGTACTGAACCAGTATTATCTTGAATTGCTTTAATTAGGTGTCACGCATCCGGCATGTTCTCATAGAAACATGGACTCCATCTCCCAGACTCCTCTGGGAGATCACATGACTGAGATACTTCCCTCAGAACCGAAATACGGCTCGGACTCCATTACCCAGAATGCTTCGGGGAATCACATGACTTCTGACTCTCTATCACGCTCCTATCAGCGCTCTCAGTCACCCGAATACTAATGTGTATCACCTGTGTGTGCAGTCATATGACTCGTAGTTTAGTTCATAAGCCCGGGCTTTAGTTATGTCTAGTTGCGAGGTATTACTTCTCCGTAAACTACTGAGCGTTCTTCATTATTGTTTGTATCCTGTTTTTGACCGTTTGCTTGGTTTTTTGACTCTGCCTTTTTGCTCGATCCCTTTATACTTTTGCTGGACTGTGTTTTGATTCGTGTTTTGACCTTTTGCCTGCCTCTACAACTACGTCTTTTGCCTTACCCCTTTGTGTTTGTTTGTCTGGTGTTATGCTCATCATAACACTTCTGCTGGGTTTGCTGGATTTGACCCGTGCCTGTTACTGGACTACGTTTCTGGATTGCGATTCTGAAAGTAAACCTGATATTGTCCTTTTTATCCGTGAGCATCTGGTTTCTGTTGATTTGTCACATTAGGAAAGTACCGAACCAAATATAAATGATCTTGAGTTGGATTAATTAGGAAAGTACTGTATTCAGCCTAAATGGTGATGATTTGGATTAATAATTAAGAAAAACTGAACATAACCTAAATTATTTTGAAATGGAATAATTAGAAAAGTACTGTACCCATTGTAAATCATCTCAAAAGGCAAAATTTGAAAATGATTCTGAATTTGATTAATTAGGAATGTACTGAACCCAACTTGAAATTACTCTTAACTGAAGTTAGAACAAACAAAAAACATTTAAACATATTTGCCTTCAACCGGGCCAGCAACATTAAACCCACCAACGTCTTGTTCTAAACATTAACAAAAAGTTCAGACATATTCATCCATTTGATTTCCTTTTGGCACTCTCTCGCTCTCTCTTTCCCTCATTTTCTCTGACACACACTAAAGTAATTAGCCACACTGTTCTCACGCTCCTCATGAGGGGGTAATTGGGGTTAGTTACTTGCAGTTAATGCCGACTCATAAAACTCTTCAGAGTTATAGCTACT